CGGGAGATGCTAGCGGGGTACAAATAAAGTTAATAATAATAATAATAATAATAATAATAATAATAATAATCTCTTCTCTCTCCTCCAGAATTACCTGAAGATGAGGTCCAACCGGTAGCCAAGGTTTGCCAGAAGGACTTGTGTCAGAACGGCCCAGCCTCAACGGAGGATGAATTGCAGGCTGATCTCACAACCTCGCAAACAGAGTTGGCCATCTCCAAAGCTGATCTGGGCTTTGGCAAGGGTTTACCCATGACTCCATCCGCATTGGGGTCCGAGCTGTCCACAGAGCCGCCTACAAAACCCGTTCAGGAGAGAAACGCTTTTTCGATAGAGTCGGATCAGGATCAAGCAGCAGAGAGAGCTGCGTTCGCAACAGCGGCTCAAGAAGAGACAGAGGCGGGGAAAGAAGTCTCGACGGAAAAGTCTGAAGGGGTGAAGCCAAACAGTGAAGCGCTTACTGTGAGTAGAAGCAAACTTCCAAGAGCCAAACCAGTTGTCCCGCAAAAGAAGATGGGAGGAGAGAACCCAGAGACTGACTCAACCACAGAGAACATCCCCAAAGGCTCCTACGCTTTCGACCCCGAGTCCTACAATGAAAACATGAACCCCTTTGTCATCGGAGGGTCCAAGCTCCAAAACTCCCCTCCTCCGTCTCAACCGGAGTTTGCTCTTCCCGACAGCAATGCCAAGGCCGTGAAACTCGAGTTTGATTTTGCAGAAGGAGCCGAAGACGCAGAACCCAAGAAGGCTCCGGTGAGGAAACCAGTAAGGAAACCAGCCAGCAGACTCTCTCCGAAGAGGCAACGGGGTGGCGCCAACAAGCCAACTGCAGTCAATGAGGATGGAGAGAAAATGCTTGCCAAGGAAGTGTCTGATGTGCATCCAAGTGATCCCGGACAGTGGGGTGAAACCCACTTGAATTCGTTTGGAGGAAACTCTGATTTGCAGGGCTCCCCGCCTCTTCCGAAAGGCTCCTACAACCTCGACGTCGCCGACCCCTTCAAGCCCACCAAGACTTTGGCCGGCGTGGGTCCCTCAACAGACAACAGTCTCAATGAAATCTTGGAGTCGCAGACGCTGGGGACCCTGAGGGATGAACTGAAGAACGGCTTGGCCTCGCCCCAAAAAGCCAAGTCCCGGTTGATAACGTGAGTGGAGGATGCTTACAGGGGTCCTTTTGCACCGAGGGGAATATATAGCCCATTCCAAGCAGAGCTCTGTCTGCATCCAGTGGAAAGATTTACTAGTCTTGTTCATTTGTATAGAATTGCTTTCCGTTTTGGTTTGTTTCATTCGTATGGCCCCGTTTTCGTTTCTGAGCGCTGCTTCCGCAGACAGGGCCTTTCCGAATGATCACCATGTGTGATCCATGGTTCTAAATGGTTCTAAAGTACTTACAAAACTAGGGGGCATTGGTGCTTTGCTTCTAAAGTGTTTCTAAAGTTCTGGTGGTGAAAATTTCAGATCTCTAACAAAACTTTCAAAATTATTGTTTGGTTAATGGCGATTTTTATGACAGAACCAATTAGGAACTGCCATTTATAATGAAATTTTGAAAGTTTCGTTAGAGTTCTCAAATTTTTACCACCATAACTTTAGAAGGACTTTAGAAGCAAAGCACCAGCTTTAGAAACACTTTAGAAGCAAAGCACCAGTTTTAGAAACACTTTAGACGCAAAGCACCTGCTTTAGAAACAGATTATAAGCAAAGCACCTGCTTTAGAAACACTTTAGAAGCAAAGCACCAGTTTTAGAAACACTTTAGAAGCAAAGCACCAGCTTTAGGAACACTTTAGAAGCAAAGCACCAGCTTTAGAAACAGTTTAGAAGCAAAGCACCCGCTTTAGAAACACTTTAGAAGCAAAGCACCTGCTTTAGAAACGCTTTAGAAGCAAAGCACCAACTTTAGAAACACTTTAGAAGCAAAGCACCTGCTTTAGAAACAGTTTAGAAGCAAAGCATCAGTTTTAAAAACATGTTAGAAGCAAAGCACCAGCTTTAGAAACAGTTTAGAAGCAAAGCACCCGCTTTAGAAACATTTTAGAAGCAAAGCACCTGCTTTAGAAACGCTTTAGAAGCAAAGCACCAACTTTAGAAACACTTTAGAAGCAAAGCACCTGCTTTAGAAACAGTTTAGAAGCAAAGTACCAGTTTTAAAAACATGTTAGAAGCAAAGCACCTGCTTTAGAAACAGTTTAGAAGCAAAGCACCAGCTTTAGAAACACTTTAGAAGCAAAGCACCCGCTTTAGAAACAATTTAGAAACAAAGCACCAGTTTTAGAAACACTTTAGAAGCAAAGCACCAGTTTTAGAAACACTTTAGAAGCAAAGCACCTGCTTTAGAAAAACGTTAGAAGCAATGCACTGGCTTTAGGAACACTTTAGAAGCAAAGCACTGGCTTTAGAAACACTTTAGAAGCAATGCACCAGCATTAGAAACACTTTAGAAGCAAAGCACCAGCTTTAGAAACACTTTAGAAGCAAAGCACCAGCTTTAGAAACACTTTAGAAGCAAAGCACCAACTTTAGGAACACTTTAGAAGCAAAGCACCAGCTTTAGGAACACTTTAGAAGCAAAGCACCAGTTGTACCAGTTCAAACTTCCGGGCGGTCTTCAAGGGCAGCCCCACGTAGAGTGCATTGTAATAGTCCATCTTGGATGTAACCAAGGCGTGGACCACCCTGGCCAAGTCCCCTCTCTTGTCCCCATAAGTCGCACTTGAGATGCGGGCGGGAGCGAGAGAAGAGCCTCTCTGGAAGATCGAAGAGATCGCATGGTTTCGTAGATGGAGATACAGTCACGCAGGTAGGTGGGTCCCAAACCGTTCAGGGCTTTGTAGGTCAAGACCTGCACCTTGACTTGGGCCTGGAAAACAAGGCTTTCATCACTGGGTTGTTGTAAGTTTTTTGGGCTATGTGGTCTCACAACCTCTGAAGATGTCTGCCATTGATGCAGGTGAAACGTCAGGAGAGAATGCTTCTGGAACATGGCCACACAGCCCAAAAAACTTAACCGCTCTATTTCTGTGGTGAAATGGAAAATAAATTGTGTGTAGTTTACGTTTGATCAGCCCACACACTGCCTTGCCAGAGAAAGAAAATATACCACAGGTGAACAGTAAAGAACAAGTAGTTTACTCTCTGTAGTTCAGAACAACGTATGTACAATATGATCAGTTGCATCAACTCACTAAGTGTCCTTTCAGAGAGATTTAAAATAGTATTTCTTTGTCCTTGTGGATAAACTCCTTCAGCAGCTCATAAAGCGAGAGCACACTCCAAACTGTCTCTCTCTCTGCTTCTCTCTGCACCTGCATAGCTCAAGCCTGAGCAAAAATGTAACAGTAGTCAAAAGTCCCAGCCTCAGCCTCTAGTCTCAACTCCAAATATAATTAATGGCTGAGATTATATCTGGTCCCAGTTTGGGCTACAAACACATTTTGTTTTTCTACTAGCAATGGAAAATCCCTTCTTCCTTGAGCTGAATTCTATGACTTGGGTACATTATCTGCATCACATTGTTCCATTTCTTCTTTTACAATTCTGCTGCTTCCATGCTCTTGTGTAATTTGCTTTTGTGTTTTGCCTGTGGTGGGTGCAATGTAGGAGTACCGAAGCCTTATCTTTGCATCACAAAGGTCTGGAGAATGGAGCTTGTTTATGGTTTGGAGACTAAATCCAGGGAGTCTTGGGCAGTGCAGTACTATTCCCAAGCTGGCACGAGCACAGATTTAAACGTAAATGTTCTAGAAGCATTCTCTCCTGACATTTCACCTGGATCTATGGCAGGCATCCTCAGAGGTTGTGAGGTCTGTTGGAAACTAGGAAAATTGGGTTTATATAACTGTGGAATGATGTCCAAGGTGGGAGAAAGAACTCTTGTCTGTTGGAGGCCAGTATGAATGTTGCAATTGAGCATTTTGATTAGCATTGAATGGCCTTGCAGCTTCAAAGCCTGGTTGCTTCCTGCCTGGGGGAATCCTTTGTTGGGAGGTGTTAGTAAAGGTAAAAGTTTCCCTTGACATTAAGTCCAATTGTCGCCGACTCTGGTGGTTGGTTCTCATCTCCATTTCTAAGCTAAAGAGCCGGCATTGTCCATAGACACCTCCAAGGTCATGTAGCTAGCATGACTGCATGGAGCGCCATTACGTTTCAATTTCCCACCTTGATTAGCATTAAATGGCCTTTCAGCTTCAAAGCCTGGTTGCTTCCTGCCTGGGGGAATCCTTTGTTGGGAGGTGTTAGTAAAGTTAAAGGTTTCCCCTGACATTAAGTGCAGTTGTCACCGACTCTGGTGGTTGGTTCTCATCTCCATTTCTAATCCAAAGAGCTGGCGTTGTCCGTAGACACCTCCAAGGTCCTGTAGCTGGCATGACTGCATGGAGCGCCATTACGTTTCAATTTCCCACCTTGATTAGCATTAAATGGCCTTTCAGCATCAAAGCCTGGTTGCTTCCTGCCTGGGGGAATCCTTTGTTGGGAGGTGTTAGTAAAGGTAAAAGTTTTCCCTGACATTGAGTCCAGTCGTGTCCAACTCTGGGGGTTGGTGCTCATCTCCATTTCTAAGCCAAAGAGCCGGCGTTGTCCGTAGACACCTCCAAGGTGATGTAGCTGGCATGACTGCATGGAGCGCCATTACGTTTCAATTTCCTACCTTGATTAGCATTAAATGGCCTTTCAGCTTCAAAGCCTGGTTGCTTCCTGCCTGGGGGAATCCTTTGTTGGGAGGTGTTAGTAAAGGTAAAAGTTTCCCCTGACATTAAGCCCAGTTCTCGCCGACTCTGGAGGTTGGTTTTCATCTCCATTTCTAAGCCAAAGAGCCGGCGTTGTCCATAGACACCTCCAAGGTCATGTAACTGGCATGACTGCATGGAGCGAAGTTACGTTTCAATTTCCCATCTTGATTAGCATTAAATGGCCTTTCAGGTTCAAAGCCTGTCTGCTTCCTGCCTGGGGGAATCCTTTGTTGGGAGGTGTTAGTAAAGGTAAAAGTTTCCCCTGACATTGAGTCCAGTCGTGTCCGACTCTGGTGGTTGGTGCTCATCTCCATTTCTAAGCCAAAGAGCCAGCGTTGTCCGTAGACACCTCCAAGGCCATGCAGCTAGCATGACTGCATGTAGCGCCGTTACGTTTCAATTTCCCACCGTGATTAGCATTAAATGGCCTTTCAGCTTCAAAGCCTGGTTGCTTCCTGCCTGGGGGAATCCTTTGTTGGGAGGTGTTAGTAAAGTTAAAGGTTTCCCCTGACATTGAGTCCAGTCGTGTCCGACTCTGGGGGTTGGTGCTCATCTCCATTTCTAAGCCAAAGAGCCGGTGTTGTCCGTAGACACCTCCAAGGTCATGTGGTCAGCATGACTGCATGGAGCGCTGTTGTCTTCTCGCCAGAGCAGTACCTATTGTTCTACTCACATTTGCATGTTTTCGAACTGGCCATTTTTAGGTGTGCCCTATTATTGCCTTTGTTGAGAGGTGATTAGGTGTCCTTGATTGTTTCTTGTCTGGAGTTCCCTTGTATTTGAGTTTTGTTTTGAATGCTTCTGGAACATAGCCATACAGCCTGAAAAACCTATGTAAATATTCGCAATTCTACCTCTGTGCGCTTTCCCTCCACTTTGTAGGATAGAAGGCATTTTATTCTGGAGAGAAACCTATCCAGGTCTTTCAAGTTCCTTTTCCCATCCTTTCAACTTTCCTCCTTCTCTCTCTCTCTCTGCCTTCCCTCTCTCTTCCTATTTGGTTCATCAGGACAACCGAACAAGTGAAATTTCTCTGTTTTTTGTTGTAAGTACTCCTTGTTTCTTTCTGAACCCTTTTGATTCCTGTTTGGCTCTTCGTCGGCTTTCTATTCCCTTGACTTTCCTGTCTGGCTTTCACCTCCTTTTCAAAGACATTGGCAACGTGGCTTTTCAACGGCGACAGTTGCGCTTGTGGCTGTGGCATGCTCTCTTTTGTATATATATTTTTTGCATTGGAGTCAGACTCATGCCATGAATGCACCCATGCCACTCCGTGTGTGTGTGTGTATTTGCTCTTATGACCTTTATCACCAATGCTGTCACCTTGACCTCTTGCTCCCAAGTCAAGAATTCCCTGGCTCTCCTGGGGCCCATCCCAATAAGAATATGACTTTGTTTGGGAGTGAATGTTCTCCGTACTTTCCGCATAATGCACAAGTTCCATTCGCCTTACTGTGGTCTTGCCCATTATTTAAATAATAATAATAATAATAATAATAATAATAATAATAATAATAATAATAATGGGATGCTCAATGGCATCTTGTGTCAGAGGTTCTGGGTTTTAGCCTGCCACTTTTGGACTCTCGCTTGCTGAGGTCTTCCTTGCTAGTATAGCTCTAAATCAGGGGTCCTCAAACTAAGACCCGGGGATCGGATACGGCCCTCCAAGGCTATTTACCCGGCCCTTGCTCAGGGTCAACTTAAGCCTGAAATGACCTGAAAGTACACAACAACAACAACCCTATCTCATCAGCCAAAATCAGCCCCACACTTCCCATTGAAAGTTTACATTTATTAAAATTGTTCTTCATTTTAATTATTGTAGTAGGAAATGCAAAGAGACAGAATGGGGGACGATGCCTGGCTCGAAAAAGATCTTGGGGTCCTCATGGACAACAAGTTAAACATGAGCCAACAATGTGATGTGGCAGCAAAAAAAGCCAATGGGATTTTGGCCTGCATCAAGAGGAGCATAGTAACTAGATTTAGGGAAGTCATGCTCCCCATGCTCTATTCCGCTTTGGTTATATCACACTTGGAATACTGTGTCCAGTTCTGGGCTCCTCAGTTGAAGGGAGACGTTGACAAGCTGGAATGCGTCCAGAGGAGGGTGACTAAAATAATCAAGGGTCTGGAGAACAAGCCCTATGAGGAGCGGCTTAAAGAGCTGGGCATGTTTAGCCAGAAGAAGAGAAGGCTGAGAGGAGACATGATGAGGGCCATGTATAAATATGTGAGAGGAAGTCCTAGGGAGGAGGGAGCAAGCTTCCTTTTTTCTGCCCTGGAGACTAGGATGCATTGGTCATGGAAGCTCTGTGTGCCAAAATTGTTTCAATTCCATAGTTGGTGGAATTCAGAATGCTCTTGGATTGTAGGTGAACTATAAATCCCAGCAACTACAACTCCCAAATGCCAAGGTCTATTTTCCCCAAACTCCACCAGTATTCACATTTGGGCATAGTGAGTATTTGTGCCAAGTTTGGTCCAGATCCATCATTGTTTGTGTCCATGGTGTTCTCTGGATCTAGGTGAACTACAATTCCCAAACTCAAGGTCAATGCCCACCAAACATTTCCAATATTTTCCATTGGTCATGGGAGCTCTGTGTGCCAAAGTTGTTTCAATTCCATAATTGGTGGAATTCAGAATCCTTTTGATTGTAGGTGAACTATAAATCACAGTAATTACAACTCCCAAATGTCAAGGTCTATTTTCCCCAAACTCCATCTATTGAGTTTTCATGCCAAGTTTGGTCCAGATCCATCATTGTTTGAGTCCATTGTGCTCTCAGGATGTAGGTGAACTACAATTCCCAAACTCAAGGTCAATGCCCACCAAACCTTTCCAATATTTTCCATTGGTCATGGGAGCTCTGTGTGCCAAAGTTGTTTCAATTCTATAGTTGGTGGAATTCAGAATCCTCTTTGATTGTAAGTGAACTATAAATCCCAGTAATTACAACTCCCAAATGACAAGGTCAGTGCCTACCAAACCTTTCCAATATTTTCCACTGGTCATGGACGTTCTGTGTGTGAAGTTTGGTTCCATTCCATCGTTGGTGGAGTTCAGAATGCTCTTTGATTGTAGGTGAACTATAAATCCCAGCAACTACAACTCCCAAATGACAAAATCAATCCCTCCTCCAACCCCACCAGTATTCAAATTTAGGCATATCGGGTATTTGTGCCAAATGTGATCCAGTGAATGAAAATACATCCTGTCTATCAGGTATTTACATGATGATTCATAACAATAGCAACATGAGAGTTCTGAAATAGCAACAAAAATAATGTTATGGTTGGGGGTCACCACAACATGAGGAACTGGATTCAGGGGTCGTGGCATGAGGAAGGTTGAGAAACACTGCCTTACATGGCAGGGTGGTAATCTGCAATTTGATCATGGTTTGTTTGTTTCAAAGTTCGAACAAACCAGACTTTACTGCTTTGAGTATAACAACAAACTGGTTTAATTGAACCTGAATGTGGACATTTCCAGTCTCTTTATATAAAAACTGGAGGAGAGTGGGGAGGAGGGAAACATTTGCACTTAAGGTCTGAGTAAACTCGTTGCTGCAATAGCCACGGTTTAGTGCTACGTCATCATCAGGCCACGATCGGATTGTGCAAGCTGTGATGCATGAGTTTGACAAGTGTGCATCATTGTGTGTTCAGCGCACAGGCAGATATCTAGAATTGGAGAAATCCACGGTGGCTTGGTGTTTTCTTTGCAAAATGTGTACAAGTGTGCCTGAGCATTGCCTGTTTTGGAGGAATCAATGCTCCTCTGGATGCCGTTCTGCAACCCTGCTTCCCTGCTTGGAGAAAGCATCATGGCAGTGGCTTTTTTTCTCCCCGCTGCTGAGTTTTTGAACCTGCCATGTCAGCGACGTAGATGCAAATTCTCCTTCTGCTTTCGCCTCCCTCTTATTTGCCTGTGTCCTTCTTTGTCCCCTTTCCGGCTCAAAATGCAAAGCATCTCACATTGATTGGTGCAACCTTTCTTTCTGCAGGAGTGGCTGCAAGGTGAAGAAATACGAAACGCAACCCCTGGTTCTGGACGCCGGTTCTCAGGTATGGGATAGCTATTATTATTATTTATTATTTCACCGTTTTCTATACCGAGCTTCTCAACCTCACTGAGGGACTCAGCCCGGTTTCCAGCCATAAAAAAACATATACACTCATTAAAATATCATATATCACAATTACAAAAACCACTTTAAAAACACTATATATAAAACTACAGTGGTCAGTCGTCCTATTAAGATGGATCTACATCAACTTCCATCCAGGTCCTATGGTGTTGTCTCATTCCTCGAAGGCCTGACTCCACAGCCACGTCTTCACCCGTTTCCTAAATGTTAGGATGGATGGGGCGGTTCTGGCCTCCAGACGGAGAGAGTTCCAGAGTCGCGGGGCCACCACCGAGAAGGCCCTGTCCGTCGTCCCCACCAGGCGTGCTTGCGAGGCCAATGGGACCGAGAGCAGGGCATCTCCAGATGATCTTAATAATCTTGATGGTTCGCTATGAACTCTCATCAACCGGGCAGTGGGGATATCCAGCTGCCTACCCTGGATGGCGAGGCACTACGCCCATCCTCGTTGGTCAAGAGTCTGGGAGTCCTTTTGGACCCTCTGCTGAGGATGGAGGCCCAGGTCTCCGCCGCGAGCAGAACCGCCTTATGTGTGGTTAGCAGGCTAGACAGCTGGCCCCTCCCTGTCCAGGGACGACCTCGCTACGGTGATCCAGGCCACGGTCATCTCAAGACTGGACTACTGTAATGCCCTCTACATTGGCCTTCCTCTGTCGGTGATCCGGAAGCTCAAGTTGGTACAAAATGCAGCTGCTCGGCTTCTTGCAGGAATTTCGATGAGATGCCACATCACACCAATCTTGCTGCAGCTGCATTGGTTACCCATTGAGCACTGGATCACTTTCAAAGGGATGGGACTCACCTTGAAGGCCTTGCATGGTCTGGGGCCGATGGACCAGAGGGACCGCCTCACCCTCTTCCAACCCCAGAGATCCCTCCGTTCTGAGGACCAAGATCTATTGGAAATTCCCAGTGTCAAGACCTTGCGTCTAACAGCAACCAGGCGCAGAGCCTTCACAGCAGTGGCACCATCGCTCTGGAATATTCTGCCACCCGAAGTCTGTGCCTTGCGGGACTTATCAGCTTTCCGCAGGGCATGGAAGACATATCTATTTCGACGGGCCTTTGATCTCTGACATTGTTGTTTTAAATTGTTTTTAAATTGTTTTAAATGGTTTTTCAATTGTGTTAGATTTTAGCCTGTTCTTGTAAACCGCTCCGAGCCCCAGGGGAGTAGCGGGCATAGAAGTTGGAATTATAAATAAATAAATAAATAAATTGCACAGAACTAGCAATGTGTTGGGAGAACGATTGCGGGCCGGAGCAATCAGAAACCTGTGCCAATCTCCAAACCAACATATGAGTGTGTCCTTATGGGGTCCACATTGAAGCCAACACCACGGGTATTGGCAAGAGGGGACACTTGAGATTTCCCCTGTATTCAACTAAAATTTATTTATATCTGAGCTTTCATTTTTTAAGAATGGGCCATAGAAGAAGCAAGTCTGAACTCTCTTCCTCAAGGGACTCAGAGCGGCTTACAACACAAAACAGGCAAACATTCAGTGCCTTGGATGGTTTTTTCAGGCTATATGGCCATGTTCTACAGGCATTCTCTCCTGACGTTTCGCCTGCATCTATGGCAAGCATCCTCAGAGGGAGTGAGGTCTGTTGGGACTAGGAAAAAGGGTTTATATATCTGTGGAATGACCAGGGTGGGACAAAGGACTCTTGTCTGCTGAAGCTAGGTTTGAATGTTTCAACAGACCACCTTGATTAGCAAACGCTACATTGCCCAAACACAAATCAAGGAACGTGAAAGGCACTGCAGACGACTTCAACCAGAGAAGTCAGCCATAGCAGAGCACCTGAAGAACCAACCTGGACACAGCATTTTATTTGAGAGCACAGAAATGCTGGACCACTCTCACAACCACCATGCCAGACTACACAGAGAAGCCATTGAAATCCACAAAAAGCATGTGGACAATTTCAACAGAAAGGAGGAAACCATGAACATGAACAAAATCTGGCTACCAGTATTAAAATACTCTAAAATTGCAACAGCAGAACAACAGAGAGAAAACAAACAAGGACATTTAATCACCTCTCAACAAAAGATTGCTCCAGGCACTGTCAGGCCATTATATGCTAATCAAGGTGGTCAGTTGAAACATTCACACCTAGCTCCAGCAGACAATGAGCACCAGAGTCCCAGAGTCAGACATGACTGGGCTTAATGTCAAGGGACAACCTTTTTATACACATACATATACGCATATACATACAAAACACACATATACACAGACTGGGCCACAGCATGGCAGGGGACAGCTAGTCTATATAAATAAAAATGTAATGTTCATTTGTGGGATTAACATAACTCAAAAACTGCTGGATGAATTGACACCAAATTTGGACACAAGACACGTATCAGGCCAACAAGTGACCATCACTCCTAAAAACACTGAAAAACACAGCAGAAGAGACTTAAAAAGCCAAAAAATAAAAATTGCATTGCAATGCATGCACAAAACCACTTATATACATATACACAAATGTATACACATACATATACACATCTATACACACAAAAAACACATATACACAGATTGGGCCACAGCAACGCATGGCGGGGACGGCTAGTCTATATAAATAAAAATGTAATGTTTGTTTGTGGGATTTACATAACTCAAAAACCACTGGATGAATTGGCACCAATTTTGGACACAAGATACCTCTCAGGCCAGGGAGTGAGCATCACTCATAAAAACACTGGAAAACACTGTGGAAGAGACTTAAACAGCCAAAAAATAAAAAATGCATTGCAACGCATGCGCAAAACCACATATATACATATACACAAATATATACACATGGATACACACAAAATCACATATACACAGATTGGGCCACAGCAATGCATGGCAGGGGACAGCTAGTGTGTGTGTGTGTGTGTGTGTGTGTGTGTATATATACCGTATATACTCGAGTATAAGCCGACCCAAATATAAGCCGAGGCATATAAATATAAATAAAAATGGCAGGGGACAGCTAGTCTATATAAATAAAAATGTAATGTTCGTTTGTGGGATTGACATAACTCAAAAACCACTGGACGAATTGACACAAAATTTGGACACAAAACACCTCTCAGGCCAGGGAGTGACCATCACTCAGAAAAACACAGAAAAACACAGCAGAAGAAACTTTAAAAACAAAAAAACCACATTACAGCGCAAACATATATATTTGTATATATGTATATGTGTATCTACATATATACACATATACACAAATATATACACACACAAAACACATATACACAGATTTGGCCACAGCAGCATGTGGCGGGCACGGCTAGTACAGAATAATACACAGTAATAGCAAAAGTCATAATAAAATATTTTACAGATGGATGGATTCCATTATGGAAGCCATGACTCCCTTGAGTCTGCAAGACTGAGCAGGTTGGTTGGTGATGGAGAGACTTGGAAGTCCCTCATTGATGGAGGGAATTCTGAACAAAAAACATATAGTGAATTAGACAAAGAAATAACTCTAGATTCCAGTTGGAAGGTTTGAAGCCACGTGTATCTTTCCTTTCCACCCTGCTCACCGCTGGATATAGCCTACAGCTTGTATTGTCCAGGTTCCTTCTGAATATCATGGAAGTGGTTAACTAAGGCGATGGCGATGTGCTTGGCCCTATTCTCACCTACCGCCTTGTTCTTGCAGGACGATGAAGAATCCTCCTTCGTCTCCAAAATCCCAGACCTTTCCAGTCGGGATGGACATGCCACGGATGAAGAGAAACTGGCCTCGACATCCTCCACCCAAAAAATGGCTGAATCCGAGGCCAAAGGTGAGCCCGAGGAAGACCTGGAGTACTTTGAATGTTCCAATGTTCCTGTGTCTACCATAAATCATACGTTTTCATCCTCAGGAGAAGGTATGGAAGCATCTCTCTCTCTCTCTTTCTGTATTTCTCATATTTATTTATTTTATTTATTTACAGTATTTATATTCTGCCGTTCTCACCCCGCAGGGGATTCAGGGCGGATTACAATGTACATATACATGGCAAACTTTCGGTGCCATAGACACACAACTTATATAGACAGACACTCAGAGGCTATTTAACAATCCAGCTTTTTTCATGAGGGTATTCTGGACTTCCTGAGGGCATTCTGGCCACCAGGGGAGCTGTCGCTTCACCATCCATTTGTGACATTGATGAAGTACTTCCTCTTTCTTTGCATGCTTGCTGGAGATTTTTATGGCCTCGTAAATTAGTTAAATTAGCCTCCCCACATAAGTGGTACCTTAATTTCCTATTTGACAGATGCTTGTGTTATTGGATCACACATTCGACCACAATCATTTGACCCACCGCCTTGCTGTTGCTGGAGTCAGGGGGAGAGCTTTGAACTGGCTCCCCTCCTTTCTCCACAACCGTGGACAGCGAGTGGAGAGGGGAGGCCTGGTCTCTGAGAGGTCCCCTCTATCTTGTGGGGTTCCTCAGGGGGCCATTCTCTCCCCTCTGTTGTTTAACATCTATATGCGACCACTTGCTCAGCTGGTTCGAGGTTTTGGGCTGAGTGTTATCAGTACGCTGATGACACTCAGCTGGTGCTGAAGATGGAAGGCCGACCGGACTCTGTACCCGATTGTTTCCATCAGTGCCTCGAGGCCGTTACTGGATGGCTGCATGCCAGCAGGTTGAGGGTGAATCCAGCAAAGACGGAGATCCTATGGCTGGGTCAACCAGGCAGTGGGGATCTCCAGCTGCCTACTCTGGATGGCAAGGCGCTACGCCCGTCATCCTTGGTCAAGAGTCTGGGAGTCCTTTGGGACCCTCTGCTGAGGATGGAGGCCCAGGTCTCTCTCCGCCGTGAGCAGAACCGCCTTCTTTCTTTCACCTGCGGCAGGCTAGACGGCTGGCCCCCTCCCTGTCCAGGGACGACCTAGCTATGGTGATCCAGGCCACGGTCATCTCAAGACTGGACTACTGTAACGCCCTCTACATTGGCCTTCCTCTCTCGGTGATCCGGAAGCTCAAGTTGGTACAAAACGCAGCTGCTCGGCTTCTTGCGGGAATTCCGATGAGATGCCACATCACCCCAATCTTCCTGCAGCTGCATTGGTTACCCATTGAGCACCGGATCGCTTTCAAAGGGATGGTACTCACCTTGAAGGCCTTGCATGGTCTGGGGCCGATGTACCTGAGGGGCCACCTCACCCCCTCCCAACCCCAGAGATCCTTCCGTTCTGAGGACCAAGATCTCTTGGAAATTCCCAGCGTCAAGACTCCTGCAGAAGTGAGAGGATCCCTCTTGTCCTTTGCTGAACGTTGTTGGATTTTCTTGGTGGGTTTCTGGATTGAAAGAAGCCCCATTAAAGCCTTGGCAGACTGTGCAAAAAGAATCTGCGAAGCCCACCTCCTCCAAGATGAACTGAACCACCTCAACTGGGCTCTCCAGGCCAATGGAGACTCCACCTCAGACATCAGAAGAGCTGCAAGACAACCGAGAAGAAGCCACGAGAGTCAAGACCAAGATCCACCCAGAGGAAAAGTGTTCTTGCCATACATCAAGGGAACCACTGACCGCAGAGGGAAGCTGATGAGGAAACACAACATACAAACTATCTCCAGACCCACCAAGAAAACCCAACAAATGCTCCGTTCAGCAAAGGACAAGAGGGATCCCCTCACCTCTGCAGGAGTCTACCGTGTACCATGCAGCTGTGGACAAGAAGTCTCCAGAGGGACCCCCAAATATACCAGCGTTGCCCAAACACAAATCAAGGAACATGAAAGGCACTGCAGACTACTTCAGCCAGAGAAGTCAGCCATAGCAGAGCACCTGATGAACCAACCTGGACACAGCATATTATTTGAGAACACAGAAATGCTGGACCACTCTCACAACCACCATGTCAGACTACACAGAGAAGCCATTGAAATCCACAAGAAGCATGTGGACAATTTCAACAGAAAGGAGAAACCATGAAAATGAACAAAATCTGGCTACCAGTATTAAAAAAACTCTAAAATTACAACAGCAAAACAGCAGAGCGGAAACAGGCAGGGACATCTTAACACCTCTCAACAAAAGATTTTCCCAGGCTCAGCCAGGCCTTCAAATGCTAATAAAGGTGGTCAGTTGAAACATGCACACCTAGCTCCAGCAGACAAGAGTCCTTTATCCCACCCTGGTCATTCCACAGATATATAAACCCATTGTCCTATTTCCAACAGACCTCAGTACCTCTGGTGTGCAGGCGAAACGTCAGGAGAAATGCCTCTAGAACAGTGGTTCTCAACCTGGGGTCCCCAGATGTGTTTGGCCTTCAACTCCCAGAAATCCTAACAGCTGGTAAACTGGCTGGGATTTCTGGGAGTTGTAGGCCAAAACACCTGGGGACCCACAGGTTGAGAACCACTGCTCTAGAACATGGCCCTATAGCCCGAAAAAACCCACAAGAACCTAAATAAATAAATTCTACATTGACCTCAGAATCATTGACACCATCATTAACATCAGGAAATACAATCAGAGAGTCAGGTACAGGTTCACACACAGGCTGAACCCCAACACAAATAAACAACAACAACAACAACAAGTTTATATTTAGCAAAGAAGAGTTTCCTGGAAGGAGGCAGTCGCGAAACAGCTATTGGCAGACAAACGATTGCAGGAGAATACATTCTGGCGGAGGCTGACAAGATTCCAAGGAAAATTCCCCAACCCTTCTTTGCTTGCAGCTGGAGATGGGATTTATTTGCCCAAGAGATAAGAATAGAAAAAGATACTGCCTTTCAGTCCTAGGCTTGCATTCCTATCATTCTGAGGCCAGACCAAACAGCTGTTACTGAATGGCGCAAGTAAATATTGCAGGGTGTGACGTCTTCCTCTGCAAAGATGGAGCAGAGCTCATTTCCCCCCTCCTCTTGCAAAATATAGTTCACTTGAATCTTTTGGGAAGTTGACAAAAAAAGAAAAGAGAGCTTTCTCTCGTTAAGAGCTTCTTTTTCTCAATATTTGTATGACTCCCTATCTGCTGTATCCACAGTTTCCAGTAGCCAAGTTCTGCAAGAGACGAGGGTTGAATGAAAAGTAATGCCTCCACCTTCGTTACTTGGGTTTGGATGGGAATATTTTAATAAATCAAACGCAGAAATAATCCTTAGAATGTGCTCTTTCACTACCACTATTCACTTTCCCACATAATCACCAGACAATTTCCCACAAAATCACCGGAGCCCTCGGTGGCGTAGTGGGTTCAACCCCTGTGCCGGCAGGACTGAAGACCGACAGGTCGCAGGTTCGAATCCGGGGAGAGGTGGATGAGCTCCCTCTGTCAGCTCCAGCTCCTCATGTGGGGACATGAGAGAAGCCTCCCACAAGGATGGTAAAAACATCAAAACATTCGGGCATCCCCTGGGCAACGTCCTTGCAGATGGCCAATTCTCTCACACCAGAAGCGACCTGCAATTTCTCAAGTCACTCCTGACACAACAACAACAACAACAAAAAAGCCAGACAATTGGATACATTTCTGCCAACATCACGGAAGAAGTCGACATTCTGTTTCCGCAACCCATCGTGCACAGATCTTCCGATAGCCAAGCAAAGCTATTGTTCTTGTGAAAATTTCACGTTCTTGTGAAATGCCGATTGTGCTTGAAATTTCTCTCTGAGTGATACGACGATCGTCCTGAATCAATCTGTCAATCTTTTGCTTGTGAAACTCAGTGGTTGCTATCACAGGACGTTCAACTCTTGTTTTGTCATGCAAGTCAGATGTTCCCACCTCAAAATCTTTAAACTTTCTCGCCCAACGATGCCCAGTACTCACATCAACACAACACCATAAACAGTTTGCATTCTCTGATGAATCTCCTTTGGGGTGACACCTTCTGCTGTCAAGAATTCAATGACTGCATGTTGCTTAAGTCGTATTGACTGACCGTCTTTGCAGGGTTCCATACTTCGCACTTTAACAACACAACTGTTCAGTGCCAAGGGACTGTAGAGGAGAGTCTACTAAATAAGGCAGTACCTGCCGCATATGTTGCTTAAGTCACATTGATTGACCGTCTGTGCAGGGTTCCGTACTTCACACTTTAACAACACAACTGTTCAGTGCTAAGGGACTGTAGAGGAGAGTCTACTAAATAAGGCAGAACCTGCCGCATACGTTGCTTAAGTCACATTGACTGACCGTCTGTGCAGGGTTCCGTACTTCACACTTTAACAACACAACTGTTCAGTGCTAAGGGACTGTAGAGGAGAGTCTACTAAACAAGCCAGTACCTGTCGCATACGTTGCTTAAGTCACATTGACTGATGGTCTGTGCAGGGTTCCGTACTTCACACTTTAACAACACAACTGTTCAGTGCTAAGGGACTGTAGAGGAGAGTCTACTAAACAAGCCAGTACCTGCCGCATACGTTGCTTAAGTCACATTGACTGATCGTCTGTGCAGGGTTCCGTACTTCACACTTTAACAACACAACTGTTCGGTGCTAAGGGACTGTAGAGGAGAGTCTACTAAACAAGCTAGTACCTGCTGCATACATTGTTTAAGTCGCATTGACCGACCGTCTGCACAGGATTCCATACTTTGCATTTAACAACACAACCATTGAATGCTAAGGCTTCCCACCAAAATGGAACTGTAGAGGAGAGTCTACTGAACAAGCCAGTACCTGCTGTATACCAGTACTGCCATCTGTTGAGGAGTTACGAAGGTGTAGGCATCACTTTTCATTCAACCCTTGTATGTCCTCTCGGCATTTTCTAAGCTCTCCAGCCCAACTTATTTGTAGGCCAGAAGTCCTTTATTTCAATAGGGTTTGCTGTTATCACTCGTGTCACATATCCATGAAAAGTCCAGGAATTGATCCCCTGTCGATGTGAAGATTGCACTCACTGGTATTTTGTTTTGGAAACATTTTCCAAAATGATGTGTTTCTAGTTTTATCCGGAAAATATTTGGTTGCTTGGAATGCAAGTGGAAGTTCCCCTTTGCCCACATTCACAATAAGTCCGCTCTCAGCATTTTTTTTTTTACAAGGAAATACAATGAGACAACACCCCGCATCCTGTTCCTATGGGTGATCTCTCCCATTGACTTCATGTAAATATTAAAGAGCACTGGGGATAGAATGGCACCGTGTTGAAGTATATTTGTGACACCTTAGTTTTAACAAGTGGAGGCTCAAATCAGAACCAAGATAGTTCCATATTTATTCCAGTAACGTTTACTCTGAATCTCCAACCATATATGAGTCCATCATCCACATGTGTCTCTTCATTTTAGGTTTCGAGAAGGAGCCATCCTGTTGTCTGGCAGAGAAAAACAATCTAGTGGTAAGTGGATTTATGGAAATATGGTATCGTCCAGGCATGGGCAAGCTTTGGAAAAAAATCAGGGTTTTGCTTCGTGACCCATGTTTTTATTGCAGCAGGTGGTCAGTGGTTTGCTCTTCTCCGCACTCGCATGTCGTGGATTCCACTTTGTGGCCCCATTTCTTGAGGTTGGCTCTGCATCTTGTGGTGCCAGAGTGCAGTCTGTTCAGCGCATTCCAAGTCACCCCGTCTTCTGAGTGCCCAGCTTGTATCAGCCATTGATTGAGGTTCTGGGTTTGAGCCTGCCACTTTTGGACCCTCGCTTGCTGGGATGTTCCAGCAAGTATCTCTGTAGATCTTAGAAAACTATTTCTTGATTTAAGTCATTGACGTGCTGGCTGATACCCAAACAGGGGATGAGCTGGAGATGTCTCTGCCTTGGTCCTTTCGCTATCGTCTGCTACTTCCCGGAGGATGTCAGGTGGCGCGATACCGGCTAAGCAGTGTAATTTCTCCAGTGGTGTGGGGCGCAGACACCCTGTGATAATGCGGCATGTCTCATTCAGAGCCAAATCCACTGTTTTAGCGTGGTGAGATGTGTTCCACACTGGGCATGCATACTCAGCAGCAGAGTAGCATAGCGCAAGGGTGGATGTCTTCACTGTGTCTGGTTGTGATCCCCAGGTTGTGCCAGTCAGCTCCCAGAAATCCCAACCAGTTGACCAGAGAACCACTGCTCTAGTATCATGCATTTTGGATAAGGTACACTCCACCTGTCCTTTTGTTTGAGCATCATGAAATACACCTCTTTAAGGCGTAACCATTCAGCTTATGGCTTAGCCGGTATTGCACCACCTAACATCCGCCAGGAAGTAGCAGCCAATAGTGAAAGGACCAAGGCAGTGACATCTCCAGCTCATCCCCTGTTTGGGTATCAGCCAGCACGTCAACAACTTAAATCTAGACATAGTTTTCTAAGATCTACAGAGACACTCGCTGGAACACCCCAGCAAGCGAGAGTCCAAAAGTGGCAGGCTCAAACCCAGAACCTCAACCAATGGCTGATACCCAATGAGAGACTTCCCCCTGGGCACACAGAGGACTGGGCGACTTGGAAGGTGCTGAACAGACTGTGCTCTGGCACCACGAAATGCAGAGCCAACCTCAAGAGATGGGGCCACAAAGTGGAATCCTCGACATGCGAGGAGAAGAGCAAACCACTGACCACCTGCTGCAATGCACCCTGAGCCCTGCCACATGATGCACAAGGGAGGACCTTCTTGCGGCAACACCAGAGGCAGTCCAAGGGGCCAGATACTGGTCAAAGGACATTTAATCAACTACCAAACTCACAAATTTTGTATTCTGTATTTTGTATTTTTGTATCTTGTCTGTTTGTTTGCTTTGTTCTGTTAGAAATGTAATATAATTGACTGGTTGCTGATGATTCGATAAATAAATAAGATTATGGCTTAAAGAGGGCTAACTTTAATGCTACTTAAGATCGTCTGGAGAGGCCCTGCTTTTGGTCCCGCCATCATCACAAGCACGGGACGAGAGACAGGGCCTTCTCAGTGATGGCCCCTCGGCCATCTCTTTCTAGGGAGATCAGATTGGCTTCTTCGCTTTTAGCATTTCGGAAAAAACTCAAGTCATGGCTATTCGAGCAGGCATTTACGAATACTGAGTAACGGGCATAAGAACGGAATCAATTACAAGATGGATTGGACATTGTTTTAATGAGTATTTATTGAATTATGTTGTATTACAGCTGTTATGGTTTTATCGATGTCAAAGTTTTTATATTGTAACTGTGTTTTTGGTGGTATTGAATTTTGCCTTGTAAACGGCCTTGAGTTGCCAGAAGGCTGAGAGGGGCGGTATACAAATACTGTAAATATAAATAAATAATAAATAAATTCTTTGACCCATTATTCCCCCTCCCAACAGGGCAGTGCTGAATTGAGTGCTTTGGAGAAGACCCCTGGCACTAGAGGAGATGCTGAGAGCCCCTTGGATGCCATTTGTCTCAGCGAATCTGATAAAACGGCCGTTTTGACTTTGATCAGAGAAGAGGTAAGAGGTTGGCTGGCCCGTTGGGGCTGAGGACCTTATTCACTCAGAATAGGGATATTTCATAGAATTATAGCTTCCCGAAGTTGGAAGAGACCCTTCGAGGCCATCCAGTTCAACACCCTACTACCAGGCAGCAAGACACCATCAAAACCCTCCTGACAGATGGCGGAATATGTCACTGCCAAACAACTCTTACCATCACGATTATTCCAAGTGAAGTCTGACCAAAGCAGAAGAGAGTAGGACTATCACCTCTGTTGAATATTAGTCTTTATTGTTCAGTAGACCCCCTTGGTGGCGCAGTGGGTTAAACCGCTGAGCTGCTGACCTAAAAGTTGGCTGAATCAGGGGAGTGGGTGAGCTCCCGCTGTTAGCCCCAGCTCCTGCCAACCTAGCAGTTAAAAATATGCAGCTGTGAGCATGTCAGTAGGTACTGCTTCTGCAGGAAGGTAATAGTGCCCCATGCAGTCATGTCAGCCACATGACCTTGGGAGCGTCTATGGACAACACCTGCTCTTTGGCTTCGAAATGGAGATGAGCACCAACTCTCCAGAGTCGGACTCAACTAGACTTAATGTCAGGGGAAACCTTTACTATGCTGCTACGGCTGTACCAGGAGCTCCAACTTCCTTTTCTTTCTTTGAGCGTTTGCATGTATTCCAAAGTTCCATGCATTTTGCAATAAGGTGGCTTCCCTTGGTTTGCAATTATAGGGCCAATGACCCATCAATCATTGTTAATTTTTGGTTCCGCCCCTTTCCCCAGGGCTCTGGGAGGAGAGGGAGCCATTTTAGGTCAGTCTTACAGTTGAAAGCTTAGCTACAGGACATGAATCAGCTCCACCTGTAGAGAAGCTTCGTTTCTTACGAAATTCCCGGAGGAAAACAGTTCCAAAGACTCCAGCTGGAGAATCTACAAAGCCTTAACTGGTAGGTCTACTCGGGACCCAAGAAGCAGTTTGGAGCCGGGAGTAGAGCCCACACCAGCAAAAGTTTAGAAAATAGATTGCCCAAGGAGGGGTTAAAAAGGGTTTTCCTCTTAAAGAAAAGAAACAGTTCACGAAGCCAGTTGCCTGTCCCTTGTGGACAAGATTAAGAAAGCCACCAGTTGATTCAAAGCCTTGAAGTATTTGTTTGATCTGTTGAAGATTTGAGATGCATTTGATTGTTTTGTTGAAGACCTAAGCAACAATAAAGGACTTTGTTAAACTGAAGGAGGCCTCAAGGGTCTCTGAGTAAGGGGCTTTGAATGAAATTAACAGCAAAAGAGAGACGTACCCTTTCTCTGACTTAAAAAGAGCAATACGGAAGAAAATGTTTTAAAGTACAAGAGGGAACTTTCTTACACAGGATGATTGTGGTTAACTTCAAAGGTTGTTTTTTGAAGTGCAGAGTCTGCATGTACAAGAAGGTACTTTCCATCAAAAGGTCAAGCGAGGGGGCTGGAAAGAGAGTACTTTTCCATGACAAAAATGTTCTTGTTTACTTGAGGTTATATATTTGGTGGTCAAAAGCCAAGGGGGTACGGCAGTCACTTGAAGGATAGCATCTGCGCATGCTACCCGGCTGTCCGTCTTCTTCATGAAGAAACTAAAATAAACTTTGTTTTTTGATCTTTTTTGGGACTGTCTCCATCCTTTCGTGCTCCTGCGACGTGGACCTAAAAAGACCCAATTTAGGGTCTCTAACAAAACCTTTCAAGCTTCTAAAGACTCTGTATAGGAAAATCCTTAGGGCCTCTCACTCGAGGCACCCTGGCTTCCCGCTGGGCACAAAGAGCACATCCTGTTCAAAAGCCAATTAATATAGGCCCAGCACGTGACAGCACATTTATTTTTAAGGCACCCAAGCTTTCTTTCTCTGTTGAAAATCCTAAATGCCCTTCCTATAAATAATTGAACTGTTTTGTTTGCATTGATGCATTGCATTGATAGGGGAGCATTGAAACATCCTAATGAATAAATACATGTTAATAAAAGACGCGGTTTCTTTCTCTGCCTTCTAGATCATCACTAAAGAAATTGAAGCCAATGAGTGGAAACAGAAGTACGAAGGAAGCCGGCAAGAAGTGCTGGAAATGAGGTAGCCAGGCAATTTTTTTATCACATCCCAAGCGAACTTTATTTATTTCGTGTCAGGGCAGCCAGTCAATTATATTACATTTCTAACAGAACAAAGCAAACAAACAGACAAAATACAGAATTGTGAGTTTGGTAGTGGATTAAATGTCCTTTGACCAGTAGCTGGCCCCTTGGAGTGCCTCTGGTGTTGCCGCAAGGAGGTCCTCCATTGTGCATCATGTGGCAGGGCTCAGGTTGCTTTGCAGCAGGCGGTCAGTGGTTTGCTCTTCTCCGCACTCGCATGTCGAGGATCCCACTTTGTGGCCCCATTTCTTAAGGTTGGCTCTGCATCTCGTGGTGCCAGAGCGCAGTCTGTTCAGCGCCTTCCAAGTCGCCCCGTCTTCTGTGTGCCCAGGGGGGAGTCTCTCATTTGGTATCACCCATTGGTTGAGATTCTGGGTTTGAGCCTGCCACTTTTGGACTCTCGCTTGCTGGGCGTGTTCCAGCGAGTGTCTCTGTAGATCTTAGAAAACTATGTCTTGATTTAAGTCGTTGACATGCTGGCTGATACCCAAACAAGGGATGAGCTGGAGATGTCTCTGCCTTGGTCCTTTCACTATTGGATGCTCCTTCCTGGCGGATGTCAGGTGGTGCAATACTGGCTAAGCAGTGTAATTTCTCCAGTGGTGTAGGGCGCAGACACCCCGTGATAATGCGGCATGTCTCATTAAGAGCCACATCCACTGTTTTAGCGTGGTGAGATGTGTTCCACACTGGGCATGCATACTCAGCAGCAGAGTAGCATAGCGCAAGGGCAGATGTCTTCACTGTGTCTGGTTGTGATCCCCAGGTTGTGCCAGTCAGCTTTCGCATGATATTGTTTCTAGCGGCCACTTTTTGCTTGATATTCAGGCAGTGCTTCTTATAGGTAAGAGCACAGTCCAGAGCAATGCTCCAGTGGGATTCCTGGAGGATTCGCAGTCAAAATCTATTAAATTCACAGTCAAAATCTATAAAAAACTATTCAGAGTTTAAAACCACAGCACACCCTGGCTCGATCAAAACCAGCCAGGTCTAAAATGACGACTTGAAGGGTACATATACATTACAGAATTAATGTCATTTGATTCCACTCACTGCTATGGGATCATAGGAGATATGCAATTTGTTGAGGACCCAGCACTCTTTGGTAGAGAAGGTTCAAAGATCTTGGTAAACTGTATCTTCCATGATTGCATAACATTGAGCCAGAGTAGTGGAAATGGAGTGAAACTGCATTTACTCAACAGTATAAATGCACCCTAAGTGTTATGGATGTATGGTATGATCCCCATATCCATATTCCTGAACTTTCCATAGATACATAAAACCATAAATTATGATGATCTGATTATTTTCAATGGATGAAGAGTAAAGATACTGAGAAAGGGGATACAAAAGATCCTGAGTGAATAAGTGAAATCATAGATAAATGAAAGCATGCATGCCATTTTTTGTGGATATGGGGTTTATACTGCAAATGCAGCCTCCTTCAAACACATTGGCAGGCATATAATAATAATAATAATAATAATAATAATAATAATAATAATAATAATAATAATAATAATGTATACTTTCTCCCCTGTTTCTATTTCATTCTAGGAAGATTGTGGCTGAATATGAGAAGACCATTGCACAAATGATTGGTAAGCTTGTCCTTATGCAGAAAATGCTAAGAAACTGCAATTCTGGGCATTGTCGGTTTGTAATAGCTATTGTAGTTCAGCCAGAGGCTGAAGACAAGGGGATTGTTCTGTCGGAGGTTGTGAGGACTGGTGACCTTTCCAGTGTGGGAAATGAGGGGATTTTAGATCACGATTCTGCCTGGGAGAATGGGTTTGTGTCTGGTGAGAGAGAAACAGCTTCAGAGTGGAGAGGGAGATGCGGTGGCTTCAGAAGATAGGGAGAACCTTTTCCCTAGTTGTTCCTTGGCAATGGAAGATAAGGAGCTGGAAGGCAGAGATCTTTCCCTTGGGAACACATCTGAGGTCAGTAGAAGTTTGAGACTCGATCTCTGGGAGGAGGGAGCCAGATTATGGAGGTCACAGAGATTCTGTGAGAAATTCTCGAAACAACAGAGTGAGAAATCCTTGAAGCAACAGAGCAGATGTCAAAGGCATGACTTCATGGCTTTGTGGTCCTTAAATTAAAGGATTCTTTACTAAAAGGGTCAGAGCAGGCAACGCTGCGTTACCGTGTACACCTTGGTCTTGTTTCACATTCAAGTCTATGTCTAGACTTGAACGTAAAACATCTTTGGGAAAGTCTTCTGTTCATGTTCCTGGATTCATGTTTTGGAAGAAGTTCCTGATTTGTGCTTATGTTTTGACTGTTTTTCCATGTACCTTGTTTCTTTTGGAACAGAACTCTGATGTATGGATACTTTGCCTTTTAATAGCCTTTTGGGACGTTGCTTTTTGTATTGCCTTTTGCTTTTTGGCCTTTTGATATTGGCTTTTCCTTCAATAAACTGTTTAGTTAGTAATACTGGACTCTTGTGTGGTGTAAAGGTGAATTCAGGCAGCAATAGTAATGTACATAATTATAAAGAAAATGTTAACATTATAATAATGTAAACAACAATAATAAATAAAATATAAATAATATTCATAAATAAATATTTACATAATAATTATATTCTTTTTTTCCTGGGTTCCAGCGAATGTGGAGGAGGACTGTGTAATATTTAGAGTTTTCTCCCAACGGCTCAAGCAAATGCGCTAAGTTCCATGCTTTAAAATAGAAGTTTCGGAATGCTTTTAAAATGCTTAGAAAATTGCTTTAGTTGATAGAGAAGAGTTGGGCAAATAAACACATACCACATACTACTCCATTTACTATCTCACCCAGGGTTTTAACAATTTTATTCCATGCATTTGGCCACCTACTCTGTTTTTTTTTACCCTTCTACCAGTTTTGCTGCATTTGTTTACTGTAGACCTGCTATTGTTTGCATTTTATTTCAGTGTTATTACTTGTTTGTTGTATTTTAATTTGCTGTATTGTAATTTTTGGGCTTGGCATCATGTTAGCTACCCCAAGTCCCCTTTAGGGAGAGATGGTTGATGGTGTATAAATGATGAAGATGATGATGATGATTATTATTATTGGGCAAAGTATCCATAATCAATTAATGTGAGATGCACACTTTTGCAGAAAATTATTATTATTATTATTATTATTATTTTTAATTATTATTAGAAACACCACAAGATGAGTCCACAGCAGACACTCTGCTGGCTGTTGAATTGGATCACACATCGGACACTTCCCAAGTGTCTAGGACTGTGTGATGTATTGGCGAATAATGCGTGCAGATCCCAGGAAGGTGGCCTTTTGCAGCTGGCAGATTGTAATCTTGTCAGCACCGATTGTGTTTAAGTGCAGACCAAGGTCTTGAGGCACTGCACCCAGTGTGCCCATCACCACTGGGACCACCTTGTCTAGCTTGTGCGAGGGTCTTTGCAGTTCGATCTTTGAATCCTCATATCGTGTCAGCTTTTCCTGTTGTTTCTCTTCAATCCTGCTCTCACCTGGGATTGAAACATTGACGATCCATACTTTGTTGTTTAACATGATCGTGAGGTCAGGAGTCTTGTGCTCCAAAACTCTGTCTGAATTCGGAATTATTATTATTATTATTATTATTATTATTATTATTATTATTATTATTATTATTATTATTTGCAGCATTTGCAGCCCACCTTTCTCAGCCTTCCGGGGACTCAAGGCAGCTCATGGAAATAGCAATTTTAGTGCAAGACATTCATAAAAATACAGTTAAAAACATTCAAGTCAACATTTTAAAAGCATATATAAACCACTTAAAAACATATAATTACTGATGTCGTCCTGTTAAAATCATTATCCAGGGGTGTAAAAATAACCTGGCTAAAGATGTTATGGAGACATGGGTTTAGTTAAAAAATAAGATATTTCCAGGAGTTTCCCTCCTAAGCCCAATAGTTTTACTGGAAAATTTTCCAGAAGACCTGAGAATTAAACTTAAACATAAAAAATTAGTGGAGGGGGAAACTGCTCTTTCCTGGAAGGAATGGATACTAAACTTGATGGGCAAGTTTAATAAGTGAGAAGAACAAGGTGCCCTGAATTGGTTCGAGAGACAACAGCTGTATAATTGGAGAAAGGACTGGTTAAGTAAAAATCCCAGATGTAGAGCACTGAATCAATTTGAGGAATTTTTTAAGCTAAGTAAGCTTAAAAACCAAGAAATAATGGGGAAAGGATTAATTGGGAAAATATATTATTTATTTATTTATTTATTTATTTATTGCATTTGTTAACCGCCGCTCTCAGCCCTAGGGCGACTCGCGGCGGTGTACAACATATAAAACAGTATACAATAAAACACAACAAAATCGGCAATTCACTAATACACACTAAGCTAATTTACACTAAACTAATCCGCGTCGTCACACATAGAATCATAACCAAACTCATAGACCGTATTCCGTTCCACTTGTCATTGCCCGTTTATATAGCACTCAATTAAATGCCTTTCCAAATAGCCAGGTCTTTAGGCTCTTACGGAAGGCCAAAAGGGAGGGCGCCTGTCTGATGTCAACCGGGAGAGTGTTCCACAGCCGGGGGGCCACCACCGAGAAGGCCCTTTCTCTCGTCCCCGCCAGACGTGCCTGTGAGGCAGGCGGGATCGAGAGAAGGGCCTCCCCAGACGATCTTAAGGCCCTCGTGGGCTCATAGGCCGAGATGCGGTCCGATAGGTATTTTGGGCCGGAACCGTTTAGGGCTTTGTAGGATAACACCAGCACCTTAAATTGGGCCCGGTAGCAGATCGGCAGCCAGTGGAGCTGGGACAACAAGGGCGTTGTGTGCTCCCTGCGTCCTGCTCCCGTTAGTAACATGGCTGCCGCGCGCTGGACTAGCTGAAGCTTCCGGGCCGTCTTCAAGGGCAGCCCCACGTAGAGAGCGTTGCAGTAGTCAAGGCGGGATGTGACCAGAGCGTGTACCACCGTGGCCAAGTCAGACTTCCCAAGATACGGGCGCGGCTGGCGCACGAGCCTAAGCTGTGCAAATGCTCCCCTGGTCACCCCTGAAACCTGGGGATCCAGGCTCAATTGGTGAAGAAATAGGGCTGAAGCTGTTAGAAAACGTATGGGAAGGAGACCTGGGGCCTCTGACAGATTTTGATTGGAAAAGGGTCCTGAAGTGGAGAGTGGCCAAGAACCTATCAATAAGATTAAAAGTTATATGGAGATGGTATACCACGCCAGTCAAGCAACATCAGATGGATAGCAAGCAAAGTAACCTCTGCTGGAGATGTGGCAAACACAAAGGGACGTATTTTCATTTATGGTGGGAATGCCCCCAAGTGAAGAATTTTTGGAAGGATATATTTACCGAAATAAACAACATTATAGGATCAAATATTACGCCGGATGCCAGGTTAGCATTATTAATGGACACCACGAAGCTGAATTTAGAAACAAGTAAGAAAGAATTGGTGATTATTTTATTCACAGTGGGAAGAATTATAATAGCAAAGAACTGGAAAATAATAACTAATCTAACACTGGAAGCATGGTATAGGGAAGTTTGGAATGTAGCCTTAAATGATAAATTAACAAGGGAAATTTATTTATTTATTTATTTATTTATTTACTTTGCTTCTATACCGCTGTATCTCAAGCCCGAAGGCGACTCACAGCGGTTCACAAACAGTAAAAACAGTAGAAACAGCAGTGGTTCCATACAACATATAACAATTGACTTAACACATTATCCATAAATTACCAATAAGCAATTACAATGCACAATTATTACAAAAAACAACCGTACCCAATCTTCTCATCATCCAAGCGTAGTCCAGGTTCGTCGTCCATTGTTCCATTCCTATGTTCCATTACCAGATTGCACTAAATTACTCAAACGCCTGCACAAACATCCAGGGCTTCACCTTTTTGCGGAATACCATTAGAGATGGTGCTAGTCTAATGTCCGTAGGAAGGGCGTTCCACAGCCGAGGAGCCACCACCGAGAAGGCCCTATCTCTCGTACCCGCCAGCCGAGCTTGAGAAGCAGGCGGGATCGAGAGCAGGGTCTCCCCGGAAGATCTCAAAGTCCTGGTGGGTTCATAGGCAGAGATGCGGTCAGATAGGTAGCTTGGTGAGGGTATTCAGGGGGGAAATTAACAGATCAGATTTTGAGGCATACTGGTCGGTCTTTATTAAATATGCTTTAGAGAGTGAAAATGGAAAACAATATAACCTTGTTGGTAAGGAATTTTGGATACGACATTTCATTAATGGTTGATTTATAAATATATGGCGAAGGAAAGGATACTTGTTCAGGCCTTGGTGGTGGGGCTATGTGTTTGTACAATGCTCACTGTTTTGTGTTTTATTTACACTGTAAGTTGTTATTGTATGTAAATAAAATCTTACAAAAAATTTAAAAAGTCATTATCCAGCAGCATCGTCTAGCCATTCTATCAGCATCGTCGAGAGTCAAGTTTTTACTTTTTTTCAGGAGGTCAAGAGGGAGGGGGCCAATCTAATATCCCTAGGGAGAGAGTTCCACAGCCAAGGGGCCACCACTGAGAAGGCCCTGTCTCTCGTCCCTGCCAGCCGCACTTGCGAGGAAGGTGGGACCAAGAACAGGGCCTCCCCAGGCGATCTTAAGGTCTTAGATGGTTCATAAGTAGAGATACATTAGGAGAGGTAGGCTGGGCCGGAACCGTGCAGGGGTAGGGAACCTTTGGCCCTCCAGCTGTGGTGGACTTCAACTCCCACAATTCCTTGAGGCTCGGCATTGGGCCAAGGTAAGCCTTTGGGGCGAATGCCGAGCCTCAAGGAATTGTGGGAGTTGAAGTCCACCACAGCTGGAGGGCCAAAGGTTCCCTACCCCTGGTTTAGGGCTTTATAGGCTAAAGCCAGTACTTTGAATTGTGCCCGGCAGCCAGTGGAGCTGGCGCAACAGAGGAGTTAGTAATCTAGCTCCTGTTAGTAATCTAGTTGTCGCCCACTGGACCATTTGAAGCTTCCGAACAGTCTTCAAAGGCAGCCCCACATAGAGCATCTAATTAGATGCAAAGCCAGTACAGGGGAGAAAGCAGAACAGTGGGATTTTTCTCATTCCTGGTAAGAGGGTGAGTTGAGAACAGTCTTGTTCAAGGCTTACGGGTGGTCCGAAACCTTTTAAGGATCCCTGTAATCCATCTTGGATTTTGAATACCAAGTTCTTCCATAATCAGAGCTGGACAGATAAGAAGGCCAGTTGTGGCAAAGCGCCCTGTTTCCATCAAATTATATCTTTCCTTTTTTTTGCCTTTGACTCCGCAGAGGACGAACAGCGGACAAACATGGCATCGCAGAAGAGTCTCCAGCAGCTCACCATGGAGAAGGAGCAGGCGCTTTCCGACCTGAATTCAGTGGAGAGATCCTTGTCCGACCTGTTTAGGAGATACGAGAATCTGAAAGGGGTCCTGGAAGGTTTCAAGAAGGTCCTCTGGACTGTTTTAAAACGCCTTTTCTCCTTTATTCCCTACTAGCTTAGGTACCCAACAATGCCATTTAACAGGTCATTTGTAACACGATTTATCACAAAACGTCAGTCTTTCCTTTAGTTTTTTATGAATTCACCCTTTAGAACGTGTTCGAATCCGGGGTGTGGGGTGAGCTCCTGCTGTTAGCCCCAGCATCTGCCAACATAGCAGTTCAAAAACGTGCACACATGAGTAGATCAATAGGTATTGCTCCGGTGGAAAGGTAAAAGTGCTCCATGCAGTCATGCCGGCCACATGACCTTGGAAGTGTCTATGGACAACACTGGCTCTTCGACTTAGAAATGGAGATGAATACCGAGTCCCAGAGTCATACACGACTGGATTTAATGTCAGGGGAAAACCTTTACCTTATTGATGTACTCACATTTTGCTTTTAAACTGCTAGGTAGGCAGAAGCTGGGCTAAAGGCCAGGAGCTCACCCTGACCCGGGCTTTGAACTGTCAATCTTTATACTGACAGTATTTTCTGAAGCTGGTGGTTTTAATCTGCTGTGCTAAAGCCTGGCTCAGGGAAGACATATTTTGTCAGAAAAGTAGATGAAACAAGTGGTACTAGGCCCTGTTGCACTCCAGGACAGGAAAAGCCCTCTGACTGTAAACACCACACCGTTGATTGGAAAACAATCCTTTTATTGAAGATAATTAAAAAGCAGCAAGTAAAAAGCACTTAAAAGAAATAGGTAAATCCAATTAGGTAAGAAGATAAGCAGGAGCAAAAATAGTCCAGGGTGAAGTTCAGCAAAGTCCATGAAAACAAAGTCCACTCCTCTCTAATATACTTCAGAAAACCAGGAAACATTAACCCAAGGCATGAGTAGGCATTCATAAAGGTAAAGGTAAAGGTAGTCCCCTGACATTAAGTCCAGTCATGTCTGACTCTGGGGTGTGGTGCTCATCTCCATTTCTAAGCCGAAGAGCCAGCGTTGTCCGTAGACACCTCCAAGGTCATGTGGCCACCATGACTGCATGGAGCGCCATTACCTTCCCGCTGGAGCGGTACCTATTGATCTACTCACATTTGCATGTTTTCGAACTGCTAGGTTGGCAGAAGCTAGGGCTGACAGTGGAAGCTCACGCCGCTCCCCGGAATCGAACCTGCGACCTTTCGATCAACAAGCTCAGCAGCTCAGCGCTTTAACCCACTGCGCCACCGGGGGCATTCATACAATCCAAGAATCCAAATCATGAAACAAGACATACTTAGATAAGAATCTTCCCAGCAAGGCTTCCATGAAAAAAGGATGAGAAATACACTTGATTCCCGATGATGCTTCATCTGACTATATTTCTCATACTTGGAACTTTTATCCCCTCGTTAAACTATTCCAAGCACTCAGAAATTGGTTTCGCTTTAATTGCGATTCCCTTATCTTTTTCTGTCGGATTCTGGCAAACCGCCGAAGGCACTGTTTGACCTGTCTGCTTTGACTAATCTCCTGCCTCCTATCTATTTGCTCATTAAGTTTTCCAGCTGGGCCAGGTGCCCAGTTGTTTTCATGCCCCAAATCCTGGGAACCCTCTGGTAGCAATTCAGGGAGTACACCATCATCCCCACACCCTTCAGGGACATTCTCATGGGAAACTACGCTTAGCACAGGGGTCTCCTGGTCCTTCTCTCCATCAATATCATTGCCATCTTGAAATTCATTGACATCAAGTAGAGTGCCGCAGGGTTCTCCCCTGGGACCGGTCCTGTTTAACATCTTTATTAATGACTTAAATGAAGCGTTAGGAGGCAGGATCATCAAGTTTGCAGACGACACCAAATTGGGAGGGATAGCCAATACTCCAGAGGACAGGAGCAGGACTCAAAATGATCTTGACAGATTAGAGAGATGGGCCAAAACTCACAAAATGAAGTTCAACAGGGACAAATGTAAGATACTCCACTTTGGCAGGAAAAACGAAATGCAAAGATACAGAATGGGGGACAATGAGGCCTGGCTCGAGAGCAGTACGTGTGAAAAAGATCTTGGAGTCCTCGTGGACAACAAGTTAAACATGAGCCAACAATGTGATATGGGGCCAAAAAAAGCCAATGGGATTTTTGCCTGCATCAATAGGAGCCTAGTGTCTAGATCTAGGGGAGTCATGCTCCCCATGCTCTATTCCGCTTTGGTTAGACCACACCTGGAATCACACTTTGTCCAATTCTGGGCACCACAATTGAAGGGAGATGTTGACAAGCTGGAATGTGTCCAGAGGAGGGCGACTAAAATGATCAAGGGTCTGGAGAACAAGCCCTATGAGGAGCGGCTTAAGGAGCTGGGCATGTTTAGCCTGAAGAAGAGAAGGCTGAGAGGAGATAATGATAGCCATGTATAAATATGTGAGAGGAAGCCACAGGGAGGAGGAGGGAGCAAGCTTGTTTTCTGCTTCCCTGGAGACTAGGACGCAAGGGAAGAATGGCTTCAAACTACAAGAGAGGAGATTCCATCTGAACACGAGGAAGAACTTCCTGGCTGTGAGAGCCGTTCAGCAGTGGAACTCTCTGTGTAGTGGAGGCGCCTTCTTTGGAAGCTTTGAAACAGAGGCTGGGTGGCCATCTGTCAGGGGTGATTTGAATGCAATATTCCTGCTTCTTGGCAGAATGGGGTTGGACTGGAAGATGGCCCAGGAGGTCTCTTCCAACTCTAGGATTCTATGATCACTTCCCACATTCAAAGTACCCTGATCCTGAAACACAATCACAGGCTGAACTCCAACAGGCCTGGAGATCGATACCAGATTGACTTGGCTTTTCCAGAACTGGTTCAGGAACAGCTTTCATCCCAGCGTCCTGCTGGTCGATACCTTTTCCCCCTTTCGTTATGATTAAATGTCTGTTGTCTTCCAACGTGTGTGTCTTCTAGAATGAAGAAGCCTTGAAGAAGTGCGCCCAGGATTATCTCAACCGGGTCAAGCAAGAGGAACAGCGGTACCAAGCCTTGAAAATCCATGCCGAGGAGAAATTAGACAAGTAAGAAGCCTTTAGGCATTGGGAGAACAATGGACGGACCGGTCATTGTCCGTTGCCCTTCTCCAAGGGAAACAAGGCTGGTCTCTCCCCAATTCCAGCTTTTGCAACTGACTGGAAGCAAAGGACGAGATTTTTAAGTGTTGGGTGCTATACATTTTGTATATACCGTATATACTCAAATATAAGCCGACCCAAGGCATCTAATTTTACCACAAAAAAACTGTGAAAATGTATTGACTCGAGTATAAGCCGAGGATGGGAAATGCAGCAACTATTGATCCATTCAAAAATATGACAAATAGATACCAATTCAAATACATTAACTGAGGCATCAGTAGGTTGATTTTTTTGAATATTTACATAAAGCTGTAATTTAAGATAAGACTACCCAACTCTGATTAACCATTATTCTAACCTCCTTCAATGTAAATATACTGACATATTTTTTCCAATAATAATAGGCTAAAATAATAAATGTAATAATAACAATAATAATAATAGTAATAATAATAGAGTAAAATAATGGAAATGTAATAATAACAATAATAATAATAGTAATAATAATAGAGTAAAATAATGGAAATGTAATAATAACAGGAATAATAGTGTAAAATGATAAACGTAATAATAAAAGTAGTGTAAAATGATAAATGTAATAATAATAATAATAATAATAATAATAATAATAGAGTGAAATAATGGAAATGTAATAATAACAGGAATAATAGTATAAAATGATAAACGTATAATAAAAATAGTGTAAAATGATAAATGTAATAATAATAATAATAATAATAGAGTAAAATAATGGAAATGTAATAATAACAGGAATAATAGTGTAAAATGATAAACGTAATAATAAAAGTAGTGTAAAATGATAAATGTAATAATAATAATAATAATAATAATAATAATAATAATAGAGTGAAATAATGGAAATGTAATAATAACAGGAATAATAGTGTAAAATGATAAATGTAATAATAAAATAGTGTAAAATGATACATGTAATAATAATAATAATAATAATAATAATAATAGAGTGAAATAATGGAAATGTAATAATAACAGTAATGATAGTGTAAAATAATAAATGCAATAATAAAAATAGAGTAAAATGATAAATGTAATAATAATAATAATAATAATAATAATAATAGAGTGAAATAATGGAAATGTAATAATAACAGGAATAATAGTATAAAATGATAAACGTAATAATAAAAATAGTGTAAAATGATAAATGTAATAATAATAATAATAAAGTAAAATAATAGAAATGTAATAATAACAACAGGAATAATAGTGTAAAATGATAAATGTAATCATAACAATAATAAATGGAGTAAAATAATAAATGTAATAATAACAAAATTCATAAAGTAAAATAATGGAAATGTAATAATAACAGGAATAATAGTGTAAACTGATAAATGTAATAATAAAAATAGAGAAAAATGATAAAATAATAATAATAATAATAATAGAGTGAAATAATGGAAATGTAATAATAACAGGAATAATAGTGTAAAATGATAAATAATAAAAATAGAGTAAAATGATAAATGTAATAATAATAATAATAAGGTAAAATAATAGAAATGTAATAATAACAGTAATGATAGTGTAAAATGATAATGTAACCATAACAATAATAAATGGAGTAAAATAATAAATGTAATAATAACAAAATTCATAAAGTATAATAATGGAAATGTAATAATAACAGGAATAATAGTGTAAAGTGATAAATGTAATCATAAAAATAGAGTAAATTGATATAATAATAATAATAATAATAATAATAATAGAGTGAAATAATGGAAATGTAATAATAACAGGAATAATAGCGTACAATGATAATGTAACCATAACAATAATAAATGGAGTAAAATAATAAATATAATAATAACAAAATTCATAAAGTAAAATAATAGGAATGTAATAATAACAGGAATAATAGTGTATAGTGATAAATGTAATCATAAAAATAGAGTAAAATAATGGAAATGTAATAATAACAGTAATGATAGTGTAAAATGATAAATACAATAATAATAATAATAATAATAATAATAATAATAATAATAATAAGGTAAAATAATGGAAATGTAACAATAACAAAATTCATAAAGTAAAATAATGGGAATGTAATAGTAACAGGAATAATAGTGTATAGTGATCAATGTAATCATAAAAATAGAGTAAAATGATATAATAATAATAATAATAATAATAATAAGGTAAATTAATGGAAATGTAATAATAACAGTAATGATAGTGTAAAATAATAAATGTAATCATAACAATAATAAATGGAGTAAAATAAGAAATGTAATAATAACAAAATTCATAAAGTAAAATAATAAATTTAATAATAATAGTAATAATAATAATAATAATAAGGGATAAAGTGAAATAATAAATGTAATAATAATAATAATAATAATAGAGTAAAATAATAAATAACCTTGACTCGAGTATAAACCAAGTATAAACCGAGGGGGACTTTTTCAGCCTTAAAAAAGGACTGAAAAACTAGGGTTATACTTGAGTATATATGGTATATCATTTCTGTTCTGATTGCAGAAAATCTAATTAGAACTTCACATTATAATGATTGGGTTTTCAATATTATTTTTGAATCTCTTTCTGTCTTGTTCAGAGGCATATTGAGCCTTGGACTGGTCACAAGTTACTTATTCTGTGCCTTCAAGTCAAGTCCAATTTATTACGGTGATCCTCTCCTAGGGCTTTCTTGGCACAAATTACTCAGAAGGGGTTTGTTGTTGCCGTCTTCCGAGGCTGAGAGAGTGTGATTCTCCCAAGACTGCCCAAAAGGTTCTTGGGCCAGTCCCCATTCCTCCATGGAAAACCACTGGGTGACCTTGGGTAAGTCATTCTCACAGCCTCTGAAGGAGGATTTATAGATCTGTGGAATGACCAGGGTGGGACAAAGGACTCTTGTCTGCTGGGGCTGGGTGTGAATGTTTCAGCTGATCATCTTGATTAGCATTCAATGGCTTGCACATAACAACAGCAAAACAACAGAGGGGAAACAAACAGGCACATAAAATCACTCTCAACAAGAGATTCCCCCCAGGCCCCTCCAAGCCATTGAATGCTAATCAAGGTGATCAGCTGAAACATTCACAGCTAGCCCCAGCAGACAAGAGTCCTTTGTCCCACCCTGGCCATTATTCCACAGATATATAAACCCATTTTTCCTACTTCCAACAGACCTCACTACCTCTGAGGATGCTTGCCATAGATGCAGGCGAAACGTCGGGAGAAAAATTGCCTCCAAAACATGGCCCTATAGCCCAGAAAAACCTACAACAACCCAGTGATTCCGGCCATGAAAGCCTTCGACAATACAGATATTTATTATTTATTTATTTACAGCTCTTATATTGCCCCCTTCTCACCCCGCAGGGGACTCAGGGCAGATTACAGTGTACTCACATATGGCAAACATTCAATGCCAAAGACACACAACAGATATAGACAGACAGTCAGAGGTTATTTAACTTTTTTCTGGCCGCCAGGGGAGCTGTTGCTTTCGTCGTCCATCTGCGATGCTGATGAAGCACTTCCGCATTCCCCGCATGCTTCCCCGCTGGAATGCTTCTTTATGGCCTCATAAATCAGTTAATTTAGCCTCCCCACACTTTAAGGTGGTACCTTATTTTCCCACTTGACAGATGCAACTGTCTTTTGGGTTGCAAAGGTCGACAACAGGCTGCACACAATTGGTTGGAAACCCACTCCAACCCAGGCTGGCTTCGAACTCATGACCTTTTGGTCAGAGTGATCTTAATGCAGCTGACACTCAGCCAGATGTGCCACAATCCCGGTGGCGCAGCTGGTCAGAGAGGGTGTGATTGTCCCAAGTCTACCCACACATTTTTTTGGGCCACTTCAGGTCTTCCTGATCCAATATCCTGAAACTCTTCAACTCCATGGTGGTGGAACATTGTCTCCAGTTGCATTTATTATAGCGTAGCAAATCACGTCAAGTCTCTTGGGCCGTTTGGAAATACCGCAAACCTTTTTCTTACCTAGGTTCTTGTGGGTTTTTTCGGGCTATAGAGCCATGTTCTAGAGGCATTTCTCCTGACGTTTCGCCTGCATCTATGGCAAGCATCCTCAGAGGTTGTGAGGTCTGTTGGAAGTAGGAAAATGGGTTTATATATCTGTGGAATGGCTGGGGTGGGGCAAGGAGCTCTTCCCTGCTGCAGTTAGGTGTGAATGTTTAGCTGATCACCTTCATTAGCATTTGAAGGCCTGCCTGAGCCTGGGAAAATCTGTTGCTGGGAGGTGTTAATCTGTGCCTGGTTTTTTCCTCTCTGTTGTTTACCTGCCGTTCTCTCTTGCTCCCTCAATGCAGAGCCAATGAAGAAATTGCTCAGGTGCGCAACAAGGCCAAAGCTGAGAGCGCGGCGCTCCACGCCGGACTCCGGAAAGAACAGATGAAGGTGGAGTCCTTAGAGAGAGCCCTCCAGCAAAAGGTGAAGGTCCACCTGACATGGGCAAACTTTGGCCCTCCAGGTGTTTTTGGACTTCAACTCCCACCATTCCTAACACCCTCAAGTCCCTTCCTTCCCCCCCCCCCCCTCAGCTGCTTAAGTTTAAGCTTAACGCCATCACTGTGTTAGTAGGCCTCAGTATGAGTAGGCTTCAGTGTTAGTTCATTTCCCAGCACTAGTGGCCCAAAGTGATAAAGATAACAAAAACACACAGACCAATGTTCTTTCTTCCATAGGAGGCTTTTCTTTGTAGTAAAATAATATGGTTGCATAATTTACAAAAATAAAGTTTCCATAACACAAATAAATGAATTAATAGTAGCTTTGCACACAGCAGCCTTCACACTAGAGCTTTCTCACACGAAGCTTCTCTCACACAGAGGTTTACCTCACACTCCTCAAGACGACACTAGCTTTGGCCCACTAACTCTAACAGGCTTCGGCTTTTTTTTTATTTTGTACTAAAATAGTATGGTTGCATAATTTACAAAAATAAAGATTCCATAACACAAATAAATAAATGCATAGTAGCTTTGCACACAGCAGCCTTTACACTAGAGCAGTGTTTCTCAACCTGGGGGTCAGGACCCCTGGAGGGGTCCTGAGGGGGTGTCAGAGGGGTCACTAAAGACCACCAGAAAACACAGTATTTTCTGTTGGTCATGGAGGGTCTGTGTGGGATGTTTGGCCCAATTCAATCATTGGTAGGATTCAGAATGCTCTTTGATTGTAGGTGAACTATAAGTCCCAGCAACGATAACTCCCAAATGTCAAGGTCTATTTCCCCCAAACTCCACCAGGGTTCACATTTGGGCATATTGAGCATTTGTGCCAAGTTTGATCCAGATCCATCATTGTTTGAGTCTATAGTACTCTCTGGGTGTAGGTGAACTAGAATTCCAAAACTCAAGGTCAATGCCCAACAAACCCTTCCAGTACTTTCTCTTGTTCTTGGGAGTTCTGTGTGCCAAATTTGGCTTGATTCTTTTGTTGGTGGAGTTCAGAATGCTCTTTGATTGTAGGTGAATTATAAATCCCAGTAACTACAACTCCCAATGTCAAGGTCTGTTTTCCCGAAACTCCAGCAAAGTTCACATTTGGGCATATTGATTGTCATGCCAAATTTGATCCAGATCCATTATTGTTTGAGTCCACAGTGCTCTCGGGATGTAGGTGAACTACAACTTCAAAACTCAAGGTCAATGCCCATCAAACCCTTCCATCAATTGGCACGTTCAATTCCATCATTGGTGGAGCTCGGAATGGTCTTTGATTGTAGGTGAACTATAAATCCCAGCAACTACAACTCCCAAATGACAAAATCAAGCCCGCACCCCACCAGTATTCAAATTTTGGTGTTTCAGGTATTTGTGCCAAATGTGGTCTGGTGAATAAAATACATCCTGCATATGTGATGTTTACATTACGATTCATAACTAGCAAAATGACAGTTATGAAATAGCAAGAAAAATAATCTTATGGTTGGGGTTCACCACAACATGAGGAATTGTATTAAGGGGTCGCGGCATTAGGAAGGTTGAGAAACACTGCACTAGAGCTTTCTCACATGAGGCTTCTCTCACACAGAGGTTTACCTCACACTCCTCAAGACGACACTAGCTTTGACCCACTAATTCTTAACACGCTTCGGCTTTTTTTTTTTTTTTTTTGGTAGTAAAATAATATGGTTGCACTATTTAGCATAACAAGGTTTCACAACACAAATAAAGTCCTTTATACTTCCTTCTTTATTTCCATGCTGGACTTCTTCCTTATTCAGATAAACAGCTTCACTGTCACAAAGCCTCCTCTCACACCAAAATTACACAGGAGCTTTGGCCTGTTCATTGTGTTCTATTTCTTAATTATATTATTTTGCAATTGTTTATTTTATGTATCTTTTGTAATTTTTCATTGCTTTGTATTTTACTTTGTTATGTTGTATTTTCGGGCTTGGCCTCATGTTAGCTGCCCCGAGTCCCCTTTGGGGAGATGATGGCAGGGTATAAAGATTATTATTATTATTATTATTATTATTATTATTATTATTATTATTATTATTATTATTACTACTACTACTACTACATAGTAGCTTTACACACGAGGCCTTTAACCTGGGGCTTCTTTCACCAAAACTTCTCATACCAGGCCTCCTCACACTTAGCCTTCTCCTAGACTAAGGCCTACCTCACACTGTGAGGCCTACCTCACATAGAGGCTTCTCTCACAGACTAAGCCTACCTCACACTGTGAGGCCTTCTCACAAACTAAGGCCTACCTCACACTGTGAGGCCTACCTCACACTGTGAGGCCTACTTCACACAGAGGCTTCTCTCACAGACTAAGGCCTACCTCACACTGTGAGGCCTACTTCACACAGAGGCTTCTCTCACAGACTAAGGCCTACGTCACACTGTGAGGCCTACTTCACACAGAGGCTTCTCTCACAGACTAAGGCCTACCTCACACTGTGAGGCCTACTTCACACAGAGGCTTCTCTCACAGACTAAGGCCTACCTCACACTGTGAGGCCTACTTTACACAGAGGCTTCTCTCACAGACTAAGGCCTACCTCACACTGTGAGGCCTACTTCACACAGAGGCTTCTCTCACAGACTAAGGCCTACCTCACACTGTGAGGCCTACTTCACACAGAGGCTTCTCTCACAGACTAAGGCCTACCTCACACTGTGAGGCCTACTTCACACAGAGGCTTCTCTCACAGACTAAGGCCTACCTCACACTGTGAGGCCTACTTTACACAGAGGCTTCTCTCACAGACTAAGGCCTACCTCACACTGTGAGGCCTACTTCACACAGAGGCTTCTCTCACAGACTAAGGCCTACCTCACACTGTGAGGCCTACTTCACACAGAGGCTTCTCTCACAGACTAAGGCCTACCTCACACTGTGAGGCCTACTTTACACAGAGGCTTCTCTCACAGACTAAGGCCTACCTCACACTGTGAGGCCTACTTCACACAGAGGCTTCTCTCACAGACTAAGGCCTACCTCACACTGTGAGGCCTACTTCACACAGAGGCTTCTCTCACAGACTAAGGCCTACCTCACACTGTGAGGCCTACTTCACACAGAGGCTTCTCTCACAGACTAAGGCCTACCTCACACTGTGAGGCCTACTTCACACAGAGGCTTCTCTCACAGACTAAGGCCTACCTCACACTGTGAGGCCTACTTCACACAGAGGCTTCGCTCACAGAATAAGGCCTACCTCACACTGTGAGGCCTACTTCACACAGAGGCTTCTCTCACAGACTAAGGCCTACCTCACACTGTGAGGCCTACTTCACACAGAGGCTTCGCTCACAGACTAAGCCCTACCTCACCACTGTGAGGCCTTCTCACAGACTGAGACCTTTCTCCCACTGAGGTTTACCTCAGACTGACTGCAACTAAGCTACACGCACACCTGCTTATATAGGAGTGCAGCTTTTGCTGAGTCAGTGCATCCATTTAACCCTTTCAGTGCTTGACTCACATTTTTGTAATTTAAAATATCTAGTTAATTTTTAATACTTCTGACAATAGGCTGTTTCTTGTGGGTTGTCGGGGAAGGTCTGCTTCCTTAAAAAAAGTCTTTATGTGGGAGTGAAAAGCCAACAGCGATTGGGCCGAATGTACCTCTTTGGGGAGTAAGTTCCAGAGCCGTGGGGCCACCACTAAAAAGGCCCTCTCTCTCGTTCCCACCAACCATACTTGTGATGGTGGCAGAACTGAAAGAAGGGCCTGTCCATATTTTTTATTTATTTTATTTAGAGCTTTTATAACCAGTCTTCTCGACCTCCGAGGAGGGACTCAGGCCAGCTAACAAGAGAGAATCAATATACAAATAAACTAAAGCATAATAACATCATAGTACATTAATGCATTAAAACACATTAAAATACAGATCAAGAATGACATAAAGCCAATTCGTCAAGGCACATCACAAATTCACCACCATCTGCCTTGTGGTCAACAGTTATTGATTCGATCATCAATCTGAGAATGCGAAGTTCCAGAGCCCAGATTTTACCATCTTTCTGAAAGTCAGGAGGGAGGGGGCAGATCTGATCTCTATCGGGAGAGAGTGCCACAGCCGAGGGGCCACCACCGAGGAGGCCCTGTCCCTCGTCCCCACCAGACGCGATTGCGAAGGTGGTGGGACCAAGAGCAGGGCTCCTCCAGAAGATCTTAACAACCTTGATGGCTCGTAGGGGAGAATCCGTTCAGACAGGTAAATTGAGCTGGAGTCGTTTAGGGCTTTATAGGTCAACACCAGCACTTTGAATTGTGCTCGGAAGCTAATTGGCAGTCAGTGGAGCTGGTGCAACAGAGGAGTAGTATGCTCCCTGTACCCTGCTCCTGTTAGTAATCTGGCTGCCGCACGTTGGACTAGTTGTAGCTTCCGGGCAGTCTTCAGAGGCAACCCCACTTAGAGAGCATTGCAGTGGTCCATACTCTTGTTACATCCCGAATAGATTACTGCAATGAGCTCTAGGTGGGGTTGCCTTTGAACACTGTTCGGAAACTTCAATTAGTCCAACGGGCGGCAGCTAGATTACTCACCGGAGCGTCATACAGGGAGCAGACCACCCCCCTGCTATGTCAGCTCCACTGGCTGCCGATCCAGTTCCGAGCACAATTCAAAGTGCTGGTTTTGACCTACAAAACCCTTTACAGTTCTGGCCCAGCGTACCTGTCCGAACGTATCTCCTTCTACGTCCCACCTCGGAGTCTAAGATTTGCTGGGGGGGCCCTGCTCTCAGCCCCACCTTTATCACAAGCGAGACTGGTGGGGACGAGGGACAGGGCCATCTCAGTGGTGGCCCCTCGCCTGTGGAATTTCTCCCCGGGGAAATTAGGACATCAACATCCCTCCTCTCCTTCAGAAGGAAGCTAAAGACCTGGATGTGGGACCAGGCCTTCAGGTAAGCTGGAAGATGGGCAAAGACAACCAATAATGGCCAGAGTAGGAAAGGACAATGACGATGCTAGATGGTTTACGGACTTGGATTTGGTGAACATTGACCACTAGATGTTTTTATTGATGCTAGTATATTGTTGATTGTTTTGATTAGTTATAACTGTGATATTATATGGTAATTTGTTTATTGTATATTGTATTGTATTTTGTAATTGTTAGGTATCGAATTGTGCCTTTTGTAAGCCGCCCTGAGTCCCCCCCCCCCCCCAAGGGGTTGAGAAGGGCGGGGAAGAAGCACCCCAAATAAATAATTAAATAAATAATAGTCTGTACGGGATGTAACCAGAGCATGGACCACCGTGGCCAAGTCAGACTTCCCAAGGTAGTCCAGCGGGAGGCAGCCAGATTACTCACCGGAGCGTCATACAGGGAGCATACCACCCCCCTGTTGTGCCATCTCCTCTGGCAGCCGATCCAATTCCGAGCACAATTCAAAGTGCTGGTTTTGACCTACAAAACCCTATACGGTTCCGGCCCAGTGTACCTGTCTGAACGCATCTCCCTTTACGTCCCACCTCAGAGTTTAAGATCCTCTGGGGAGGCCCTGCTCTCGACCCCGCTTCTGTCACAAGTGAGATTGGCGGGGACGAGGAGCAGGGCCTTCTCAGTGTTGGCCCCTCACCTATGGAATTCACTCCCCAGGGAAATTAGATCAGCAACATCCCTCCTTTCCTTCAGAAAGAAATTAAAAACATGGATGTGGGACCAGGCGTTTGGGCAATGTGGCAGATGAATAAAGGACTGTGACGACGGATAGGAATTGGACAAGGTGGAACGAAATATGGACTCTGAGACTGGTGAACGCTGTGTCTGAGACTGGCTATCGATTGTGAGATATATTGTTGTTTTAATTGTTGACCATTTAATTGCTGGTTTTATGTTATTGTATTTGTGTAGGCACCAAGATGTGCCTTTTTGTAAGCCGCCCTGAGTCCCCCCTCGGGGGTTGAGGAGGGCGGGGTAGAAGTACCCGAAATAAATAGATAAACAAATAAGGTATGGGCGCAGCTGGCACACAAGTTTTAATTGTGCCAAAGTTCCTCTGACCACCACCGAGACCTGTGGTTCCAGGCTCAGCGATGAGTCCAGGATCCCTCCCAAGCTGCGAACCTGCGTCTTCAAGGGGAGTGGAACCCCATCCAACAGAGGCTGTAACCCTATGCCCTGTTCGGCCTTACAACTGACCAGGAGGACCTCTGTCTTGTCTGGATTCAGTTTCAATCTGTTGCAACTAATGATGATCTACCCTTTCGAGGGATAGATTTCTCTCACTACCTGTTGTCTCAGCTCCGTTCTTAACGATGAGTCATTTGTAAGTCGGATGTTTGCAACTCGGGGATGGCCTGTACATGATTAATTTAAGTTCGTACGGGCGTGATGAAACAGGAACTGGAACAAGCTCCTTCTTGAAAGCACTGCTCTTTCTTCTCTTTATTTAGAATCAGGAAATAGAAGAGCTGACTAAAATCTGCGACGAGCTGATTGCCAAGCTGGGAAAGGCCGACTGATCCGTCTCCGCCGTCCGGAGTGCCATTGCTTCCCGTTGTCTGTCCGCACCTCCAAGCAAGCGCCTTGCCTTATTTTGTCCACAAGGACTCTCTCCCTCCTTCCCCGCCGCAGAGAGAAAAGCACACGTGCCCCTTCCGTGTCCGCTGTCCACAAGAGCCAGGAGCCACGGTTCTGCGTTGTCCTTGGTCCCCGTTCTTGTCCTGGTGCCAATTCATCCCTTGTTTTTTATTTGGAGGTTGTCCTGACTTTGTGTCCCCAAGAGGCATTAAGAGGACCTGTTTTTTTAGTGTTGTTGGTGTATTTGCTGCAGCATCATGAGGAAATAGTTGATCGACAACGGTGCCCAAAAAGGCATTGTATAGGTGCCTCCAAAAACTGTTGGTTACTGGAAAATGAGTCGTTATTCACAATACTTGCAGTTTGGCATCTGGAAGAGAGAGGCTCACACATTAAAGGGATACGTGGATTTTGGGCTTGGGTGTATCTAGGGCACAAGAAGAGGTGACCAGCACAAATCCCAACCGTAGATTGCACATAAAAATTCCCCATAAAAGTGCATTGGATCCTAGGAGAACTCGGCACCATTACAGCACTATGGTTCCACATTTGCTTCCATATGGAATTTGTAATTTAGGCCTGGTAGAGAATTCTAAACACCCCCCATAAATGTATTGTCGAAGGCTTTCATGGCCGGAATCACTGGGTTGTTGTAGGTTTTTTCAGCCTACATGGCCATGGTCTAGAGGCATTATCTCCTGACGTTTCGCCTGCATCTATGGCAAGCGTCCTCAGAGGTAGTGAGGTCTGTTGGAAGTAGGAAAAGGGGTTTATATATCTGTGGAATGACCAGGGTGGGACAAAGGACTCTTGTCTGCTGGAGCTAGGTGTGAATGTTTCAACTGACCACCTTGATTAGCATTTGATTGCCTGGCAGTGCCTGGGGCAATCTTTTGTTGAGAGGTGATTAGATGTCCTTGTTTGTTTCCTCTCTGCTTGTTTTGCTGTTGTAATTTTAGAGTTTTTTTAATACTGGCAGCCAGATTTTGTTCATTTTCATGGTTTCCTCCTTTCTGTTGAAATTGTCCACATGCTTCTTGTGGATTTCAATGGCTTCTCTGTGTAGTCTGACATGGTGGTTGTGAGAGTGGTCCAGCATTTCTGTGTTCTCAAGTAAAATGCTGTGTCCAGGTTGGTTCATCAGGTGCTCTGCTTTGCAGACTGAGAAGTCAGCCATAGCAGAGCACTTGATGAACCAACCTGGACACAGCATATTATTTGAGAACACAGAAATGCTGGACCACTCTCACAACCACCATGTCAGACTACACAGAGAAGCCATTGAAATCCACAAGCATGTGGACAATTTCAACAGAAAGGAGGAAACCATGAAAATGAACAGAATCTGGCTACCAGTATTAAAAAAACTCTAAAATTACAACAGCAAGACAACAGAGAGGAAACAAACAAGGACATCTAATCACCTCTCAACAAAAGATTGCCCCAGGCTATGTCAGAACATTATATGCTAATCAAGGTGGTCAGTTGAAACATTCACCCCTAGCTCCAGCAGACAAGAGTCCTTTGTCCCACCATGGTCATTCCACAGATATATAAACCCATTTTCCTAGTTCCAACAGACCTCACTACCTCTGAGGATGCTTGCCATAGATGCAGGCAAAACATCAGGAGAGAATGCCTCTAGACCATGGCCATATAGCCCGAATAAACGTACAACAACCCACCCCCCATAAACTAAAAATCCCAGGTTGGAAATGGAATCACAATGCTGTCATTGTGTCTTGAGATAGGGCCCATGATTGGCAATGTAGAAAGGAAGTGCCAGTCTCTTTCTTTGCAAACATACATGGCTGTTTTATGCCACCTTGAAGTCTTCTGTGTCTGAGAATGTGAAACGTCCCTCTTCTATTACGCCCGTGCCATAATAAACCACATAAACTTCAAGGCTCCAGGCAGCTCTTTCGATTTCAGTGACAGCCTAGCACGTTCGCCCTCCCGGAGTTTGCTTCTCAGTTAATGCACTTTATTGCCACGGCACAAGGAGGGTGCGCACTTCCCAAAATGTAGGGCCTTCCCAGATAATATTCCTTAGATATCCATGTGCAAGAATAATGTATTTTCCCCTTCTGACACAGTTTATGCTGCTGCTGCTCATGCCTCTTTGGAAACTGGCTGACGGAATAAGGAATATAAACTTCCGTGTAGGCTGCTCTCCCGTCCTCGGCTACTTTCCGTCTTCCTTGACTTCCTGGAAAGTTTCAGACCTAAAAATAAATCCGTCCCACAAGTACGTTCATAGAAAATGGTCATCTGGTTCCTTTCCGTATTAGATGGTTTCATAAAGGTAAGAGACGGAGGGCTCTTAGGCGCATTCCCTAATGTGTGGATCGACTGATGAATCACTCAATGCACTTTGATGTCTCAATTACCAAGGGGTTGTGGAACTCGTACAACATCTCTAGGCCTTTTTTGTTGTTTGGGTGTTGCATTCTTTGACTGTGTCCAGATGCAGTAGAGTCTTGCTTATCCAACGTAAATGGGCCGCAGAATGTCGGATAAACGAAAATGTCGGATAAACGAAAATGTCGGATAAACGAAAATGTCGGATAAACGAAAATGTCGGATAAACGAAAATGTCGGATAAACGAAAATGTCAGATAAAAATGTCAGATAAACAAAAATGTCAGACAGGCATGTAGCCGGGGGGGGGGGGGGCTTGAGGGCTTCAGCCCCCCCCCCTCCCCTCCCCGAAATTCTCATGTTGGTCCGCGAGAAGGCCTTACTGGTCCATTATTTAAACTGTTATGTTTATTCATATCATGATCTGATCACCATAATCAATATAACATGAATGGGGGTATTGGGGTAATGATACAAAAGGTTTGCTAAGGTAGACCCTCTTTCACTCAGACAGCCCCCCCCCCCCGAGTCAATCTCAGCCCCCCCCCCCCAAATCAAAATCCTGGCTACGGGCCTGATGTCAGATAAATGAAAATGTCAGATAATACGGAGTCTCCGACTGTTACCTATCCGATATGGCGCTAGACACTTAGAATACTAGCAACAGGGACTCAAAGGATTAAAGCAAGGCAACGCCTCAGGGCTAGAAGGCCCAGAAGGAAGTGCCCGGATGCGGAACAGGAGCGTGGAAATCAAGAGGGAAGGAGGGAGGATGCTTCCGCTTCCAGTCCTGCCTCTTTCCTCCTTCCTCCTCCTCCTCATTGTCTTGCCTTTTCCCCTTATTGGGAATGGAGGGAGAGTTGAAGAGCGCTCCTTTAACTGAAGCGGAGATTCTGGAGGAAAAGGAGGGCGTCGGATAAGACGGAATGTCGGATAAGCCGAGGTTGGATAAGCGAGACTCTTCTGTATGTCTTTTTATATCTGTTTACCTGTTCTCCCTGACTGCAGATTGACGAGTGGAACAGCCATAGGTCCGTGCTCCTTTTGGTAGTGTTTGTAATGGGAGGGATCCTATGCTGCTATTCTGCCTGTAGTAAACTTGATATGCGCTCCGCTTTACAGTCCGGAGTCCGGAGAGCCTCAACTCTGTGTGGTTTGTTTCTTTTCCAAGCAAATGTTAGCCTGCATAGTTCAACAAGCTAGATCTTCCATCGTACCCACCCCATGGCTCCCAGGTGCATGCCTTGATGTGTCTCCTTCTCAGATCAACAATATCAACACCTTTCCTTCCGAAGCGAAAGAGCAGGCTCGGTTTCTAAGCCAATATATTATTAATATGCCTGGGGTGAAATGCTTCTGCCAAGTGCTTGGCTTCTCTTCTCTTGTTGTGCTGCTCCATGCCAGAATTGGAGGTGTTTCTCCTTTGGACTATTTGTTCCCCAAATCCAGAAAAATCTGCTGACTAGGAGGTGCTGAGAGTTTGAAAAATTAATATTTTGCAAGACCTGTTCCTTGCCAGCAATTGGGAAAAAGAGTCCTCAACTTGCTGAGGATTTTCTATGAAGTTTTGGGCACTTTTTCCTTGTGCCACATGAAAAGTACTGACTATTTTGAGTACCGTCTTCAGCCGAAATACTTACTTAGGTGATCCCTCGTAGCCTGAGGATGATGGTCCTCTAAGTGTAGTGTCTTGGCAGCGGGTCTGTAGGTGGCTGTAGAGCCCTAGAATCATAGAATCAAAGAGTTGGAAGAGACCTCATGGGCCATCTAGTCCAACCCCCTGCCAAGAAGCAGGAATATTGCATTCAAATCACCCCTGACAGATGGCTATCCAGCCCCTATTCTTGACCACATGTTCTCCCGCAATGAGGACATTGGTGAAGGCTTGATGTACCTTCTTCTTGGCACATTTCTCCCTTTCGGCCTCCGTTCATGCCTCTTTGAATTCTGCAGCACTGCTGGTCACAGCTGACCTCCACTTAGAGCATTCAAAGGCCAGGGCTTCCCTGTTCTCTGTGTCTAAGGTTGACTTTAAACCTATATTTTCCTGTCCACCAACATTATGTTTGCCATTTTTGAGTTGGGAGGAGAGTAACTTCTTTGGGAGACGGTGATCCGGCAGTGGGGTCGATGGTATAGGAGCATTGCTTCAGTGCTGGTAGTCTTTCCTCCTTCCAACCTGTTGTCCCAAGACATTTATCTGCCTGTTTTCCCAAGAGATTTGTAGGATTTTTCAGAGACACCACTGATGGAATCATTCCAGGAGTTGAGTGTGACATCTGTAGCCAGTCCACGTTTTGCAGCCGTACAGCAGGGTTGGGAGGACAATAGCTTTATAGACAATCCCCTTGGTCTCCCTACGGATGTCCCAGTCCTCAAACACTCTCTGCTTCATTCGGAAAAATGCTGCACTCGCAGAGCTCAGTCGGGGTTGTATTTCGGCATCGATGTTGACTTTTGTGGAGAGGTGGCTGCCAAGGGAACGGACATGGTCAACATTTTCTAATGTTACACCATTAAGCTGTATTCCTGGCATTGCAGAGGGATTGGCAGTGGACTACTGGAAGAGCACTTTGGTTTTCTCATCTGGAAATAGGCTGGCAATAAAAGGGCATGGAAGAAATCTGTCTCCATCCCTGGCACATGGCAGACGCATCCCATAAAAACCATTTTTTTTCTGTGAAATGGGAATAACTTTAAGGGTGGTCTCTATAGGCCCTCTTGGTATTTTCGTCACTTCCAAAAGTTTCTTTCAAAAGATGCTTCAGAAGACATAGAGATGTTCAATGTATTGTCAAAGTCTTTCATGGCCGGAATCACTGGTTTGTTGTAGGTTTTTCCGGGCTATATGGCCATGGTCTAGAGGCATTCTCTCCTGACGTTTCACCTGCATCTATGGCAAGCATCCTCAGAGGTAGTGAGGTCTGTTGGAAGTAGGAAAAATGGGTTTATATATCTGTGGAATAATGGCCAGGGTGGGACAACGGACTCTTGTCTGCTGGAGCTAGGTGTGAATGTTTCAACTGACCACCTTGATTAGCATTTGATGGCCTGGAAGTGCCTGGGGGAATCTTTTGTTGAGAGGTGATTTGATGTGCCTGATTGTTTACTCTATGTTGTTTTGCTGTTGTAATTTTTGAGTTTTTTAATACTGGTGGCCAGATTTTGTTCATTCTCATGGTTTCTTCCTTTTTGTTGAAATTGTCCACATGCTTCTTGTGGATTTCAATGGCTTCTCTCTGTAGTCTGATATGGTGGTTGTGAGAGTGGTCCAGCATTTCTGTGTTCTCAAATAATATGCTGTGTCCAGGTTGGTTCATCCAGGCACTTCCAGGCCATAAAATGCTAATC